CGCCCTGAAGGGAAATGGAGAATGGGCAGCACGGCTAAGCGGCATACGCTGAACGCCCATTTTGCAGTTTGTTTTCACCACCAGTTCATTGGATCGAATTGTAATGAATTAGGGAGGGAATTTGGTATTCTTAAATTGGGCTGCTCCGGAGGTCGTTGGGGCTCGAAGTACCTGCTGCGCCACAGCGGAAAACGATGCATAAGCCACATTACTCCTAGCCACAAGCCACGATAGGAGAAATGGCTATCACCAGCCACACCTCGCAAGTTTGGTCTTCCTCCTTTGATCCTTTGAACCTCATCCTCTCAAGTCTCACCACAACGACGTTTCATCCTCTTGTGGCTGCCCCCCTGCGGCTTTTTAACCTCCTGTCACCAGAAAGCTTGGCTTCCTTCTCGTCTGAACCCTGGCCTACCATTGCTCATCAAATTGAACGCCCCTGAGGCGTATCCTATTTGCTCGATGCCCTGCCCAATGGCCCATCTACCGGGAGAAGCTGGCTCGCCCTCAATCTTAGGATGTGGAGATCTGGTGCGGTGAGCTTGTGGGAGAGCAATAAATGTTGGCCGTTGAATAAGATTGATCGCCGCCTCTATCAGAAACACCCCCACGATCTGTCAACATCTCTACAATAAGCCCCGACCACACACTACGCACACTACGCACACCCGCATCAGTGCCTACGAATACCGACAGCACGGAATAAAGGCTGGGCAACTACAAGACTCGGTTCCTGGCTGCCGAGGAAAAGCAACGACGTTCCATCGCGACCGCGAGAACCATACCGTGGCCGAAGCCCGAAACAGCTCCTCCATCTCCTGGCCGCTCCTGGTGCGACTGGTTTCGGGACCCAGCTGGCCCAGGCACGATTTATCGCGCCCGCCCACCTTCCGGCCCCCTTGACGATAACTCATAGTCGTTGTAATAAGGTGAGGGCGGCATTGGGAACATGGGACATTTCTTCGGTATCGGTAGGAGTACTCTACGGACCACCGGCGATAGACTCGTCAACCCCCGGTGCCTCACGGGCCTTCAATGACGCGGCCGCGGTGAAATTCTCGGCTACCGCGGCAAGCATTACCGGTTCATCTCAAAACCAACGGTCCATTACTGGATTGACACGATAAGGCTTGCACTTCAAACATCGCCTTTGACGACTAAGGAGGGATTCGCTACTAGTGCCCCCATTGCAAATACTACCAAACTACCAAGTCATCGCCAAACGCCAATACCAAGCCACAAAACACCAATGAACCGGTCTCGCTCCTGGGAGTATCGTATCGGCGCCCTTGAATGAAAATCAAACCAACCATCCCGTGCCATTATTCCGTCACTCGCTGGCCCCAGTATCGTGGCAGCTTGCCCTTGGCCCATAGAGCCGCCTCAGTAAACGCCAGATACATCCCAGTAAAGAACCAGAAAGTCATGACGACGCCGAACCCGCCCACAAGCTTGGCATCGACTATTCTGCCTACCACAACATCACGCATAGCGTTGTTCATGAGTGCCCAGCTGTATACTGGTACAAGCTGGCGGGCTTGCATGGCAATGGACGAACGCTGATGGGTAATCTGGGCCTTTTCTCGTTCTCGCTCTTCAATGGTGTCAACCATCCTCCAGGCGACTTGATTGTTGATCTTCTCCCAAGTAGCCTCGCACGCCATTACTCGAGCCTGCGCGGCCATAGCTTCCCGACAGTCTCGGTCTTTGGAGAGGTACATGACCTTGTCGACAAATGTGTCCAGGTCGTTGGGTGGTACAAGGTATCCCGAGCGGCCATTGTCGATGATATCGCTCGGCCCGCCCTCATCGCGAGCGACTACCGGAACGCCGCTCGCCATGGATTCCAGGACGACCAAGCCAAAGGTTTCGGTTATGGAGCAGTGGAGGAAAATGTCGCCCGACGCGTACGCCGTCGCCAGGTCGTCTCCGGTCTTGAACCCGGCGAATATGACTTTGCCTTGCTCTCTCAGAGGGTCAAACATCTCGTGAACCTCTCTTTCAACTTCTGCATTACGGTTTCCGCCCACGACATAGAGCTTGAAACGGAGACCCCTTGCGTCGAGTTCCTTCACTGCCTTGGCGAGAAAGTCGAACCCCTTCTCACCCGCCACCCTGGATACACATATCAGAATGATTTCTCCATTCGGTGCGATCTGCTTCCTCAACATCTCGCTTCGCATTTCTGGTCGGAACACCTCTGTTTTGACGCCTCGTCGGAGCACCTCAAGCTTGGAGCTCTGGACCCCCTGGGCCTCGAGATACTTGCGCACGAAGCGTGAGGGGTAAAAGATGGTCTTGATTGATTCGTGCTGGAACAGATAGCTCTGGACCATGGCGAAGGCGAAGACGGCCATGGTGCTAAACGGATGAGGGAAGAGGATGGCGCAGTATCCGGCCAGGTCGGTCTGAAAGTTGCAGATCACCGGCACCCGTCTCTCTTTTGGCTGTTGTTGGAGCTGCAGCATGACCTGGAAGCCCAGCGATGCCGGCGAGGCGAGGTAGATCAGGTCGGGCGGGTTGTCAGACCCAAAGGTCCTCGCGAAGAGGGCCGATACTCGCACGGGGTAGACGACAGAGAGCTCGGGGTTGAAGGGCAGCGGGTATCCCTGAAGGCGCACTTCGACCTGGCTGTCATTTTCTGTTGCAGGAGAGAAGGTGTTGTGTTGGGTGTGGTTGTGTGGCGCCACGACGGCGACGAGTGCGCCGTGGGATCGCAGGTGTTCGACGAGCATCAATGTCGTTCGGCTTACGCCGTTGACGGGGCCGAAGGATTCTGTGCAGAGCAGAATGCGCTTGCCTCGTAATGAAGATGGGAATACGGAGTTGTCATGAGCCGGGTACCGCGGCATGGTGCCGTAGCTCTTGGGGAGAAGAGGTTCTGCCATGACCGGTGGCTGCGATGCCTAGATCAGTTGCTGTGTAAGATGGATTCACACTTCCATCAGAGGGCTTGCATCTTACCGAAGAATCACTCGAAAGTCTCGCAGCGACGGTCAGTATGGCCTGTTAGCAATTATTGCGGAGCTGAAGAACCGCAGGTCGTGGGTGCAGTGTGAGGAAGATGATGGCGTTCGCCGAGGATGAGGGGAATGTGCCAAAGGCGGCGCTTGGCCTTCTGATATCTCCTTTGCCCATGGCTGCGAGGTTCGGACTGCAGAAGATGCGTACAGGTCAAGCGACCTAGATGTCTCACCGTGCTAGGCGTACTATCACGCAGGTACCTGTGATGATGTGTGGCGGTGGAGGGGCAGAAGAGACTCGAATCAGAGAGCCTGTCGATGTGTCGCGCTGGGCCACATGGCAAGCTTCTCTGGCCGACCGCAAAGGTAGTGGGGGCGGGGCAACTCATTCAAGATTGTCGGGTGCATCGCTGCAGGGTCCAGAAGCCGATTCCGGTTGCGTGTCGAATTGTTCCCGAATTATTCTTCTTTGATGGGTGGTGCCTGTAGCTGAGACTGGTGAGACCACATCACGGGAACTATGAAGTGACCACTATTTCCCTCAACCTAACAGAGACTTGATGATTATGCTTATGCTCTCTTCATGTCTATGAAGGTCTGATCGATGTCGCACGTCTGATATGCACATCTGAAGCCACAAAGTTGAGGGGCTAACGTTGACAACGAGTCGATACCAGTCAACAATGGGATCAAGCAGAATAACACATAATTTCAAGCCTACATGGGTCCAAAGAATTCCCACGCCAAGCTTTCGAACTTCTCGTCCATTTTTGGGACACCTGTTTTCGTACAAAGCTGAAGTGGTATAGAAATCACAAATCGCGAGACGTCAGGTCAACAGCCAATCAGAAGCCCGGAACGCGGCACATTTCCGCTTCGGTGGACGAGAACCAATCAGCAAGACGGCGACACCATTTCTTAGTTATAAACATGATCAATAGTTCACATTTTCTAACTGCCTGCCAAAGATTGGCCACATGACAAGTTCCTGATTCATACACATGGAAAATGGTCGCCGAAAAGGCGAATCGCGGGCTGTATCCCGATGCCCGTGGCCCCTCCGGTTGGGTGAGGATTACCGACAACCTCTTTTCCACGATTTACACATTCTGGTGTAGATTTCCCGGCTATCTCCTCCAAGCCTGACGAATCGTGGTCTGCCGCCTGCACGATTGGCTCTTTGCGAGGATGCAATTCGCTGTTTGCCATCACCTGTGCCGTGACGAAGTGCTATCAGTTGGAGGGGTCATCGTAGCGGGGGAGGGGCATCGTGATGTTCGTGATGGAGATCTCATGGCCACCTGCGTTGATACTCGACGATAAGCCGTGCTGTTGTCAACTCGTAGCCATGTATTCATCGGTAGCTTGCGATACGCTCGGCCGCTATCGGGATCAAAGTACAAGCGAGCATATTTGTCGACCCAACCCTACAAAGGTCTTGTCAACGCTGCCATTTCTCATGTTCAGACGTCGCATGAACTCTTTGCCTGAAGCTCTTTATGCCCTATTACACCTCGAATCCACATACGATCCGTATCTCGTCTAGCTATAACCTCCATCTTCCCCCAACTAACATCACACTCTCGGAAACCGGCAACTTTGACCGCTGCGCCGCGTCTCCTCAATCACCATCACCCTGAACTGACGCGCGTCAAGCTCTTGAAGCTGATGAAGGGTTCGTTGCTAGTTTTCCATCACTGGCTTTTAGTACAGCGACTGCTTGATCATCAGACGGGCGGTTGCTAAATCGAGTACCGGCGCGGCCTGAAAAGCCACGTCAGATCTACAGCCAGACCGGTTCGTTCCCGCACGGCCGCCACCGTTTGGGGGACCTTGCCTAATTGATGATAGTGAAACGAACGCCCTTTTTTAACTATCGGACGAAATCACCAGCTTGCTAGTGGACGGCTTGGGCGGGATCAAGAATTGCGCTTTTGGTGTTGAAGCGATTTCTAGTATATACAAGTCGTATTCCGGGAATTCGGGAGATAGAGAGCTGGACCAAGGTCTTGCAGTACTTGTATGATGGCAGCGACAATGGTGGATGTTGGCGATATCAATCTCGTTCTTGGGTATGAAGATGCGGATGAGCGAGCGGCGTCTACGGTTCCCACGACACCTGAGGGGAGTTGCACTTTCAGTCCTGTTGTTAGAGCGGCGAGTCGGCTAGTTATTGACGGCGAAGACGCGGGGCAGGATACATTTCCGCAGCTCGATGCGAAGCCCGTGGAAGTGAGCTTCACTGGAAACAGTGGCAGCAGTCCGGTCCGCAACATCTGTTGCGTAGGCGCTGGCTACGTGGGTTAGTTGCAATCTTGTGGTGTATGGCCCCCTGATATCAGGAAATTGACCTATGATATAGGAGGGCCCACGGCGGCGGTTATTGCGTACAAAAACCCTCACATCCGCGTCACGATTGTGGATAGAGATGAGCGCCGGATCAGGAGATGGAACTCGAAGCATCCTCCCATCTACGAGCCTGGCCTGCGAAATATTGTCAGAGTCGCAAGGGACGGCACCAAGGAATATTCAGCGCCCGTCTCTAGCCATTATGTCAAAATGGACCGCTGCGAGACTTTCTCGCCATCCTCATCAGTCACCTCTGAGTGCGGAAGTCAATGTGGTGAGAGCAGCAGCAGCAGCAGCAGCATCTCAGTCCCGCCTCGTCAGCCAAACCTCTTCTTCTCCACAGATGTCTCAAGATGCATCTCAGAAGCGGACGTGGTCCTCGTCGCAGTCAATACCCCAACAAAGACGCGAGGTCACGGCGCCGGCAGCGCAACGGATATGGCGGCCTTTGAGGCCGTCACCACCGAGGTGGCCAAACATGCACGACCGGGCGCCATTATCGTAGAAAAGTCTACCGTGCCATGCCGGACCGCAGAGCTTGTGCGAGAAACAGTGAGTCCACATCATTAACGAGTGAGCTCACAAAGTACGTCAACGGGGTAGCTAACGCATCATCTCCCACAGCTCGCCGCCCATCGACCAGGCGTGCATTTTGAAATCGTTTCCAACCCAGAGTTTCTCGCCGCAGGCACAGCCGTAAATGATCTCCTGCACCCAGACCGCGTCCTCATCGGCACAGACACGACGTCTTCAGGTCATCGCGCAGCCGAGGCGCTGGCCAGTGTATACGCCGCCTGGGTCCCCCGCGCACGCATCCTCACGACAAACGTCTGGTCATCTGAGCTCGCGAAGCTAGTCGCCAACGCGATGCTCGCGCAGCGAATAAGCAGTATCAACTCCATCAGCGCAATCTGCGAGCGGACGGGCGCGGACGTGGATGAAGTTGCCGCCTCCGTCGGCCGGGACCCGCGTATCGGGGACAGATTCCTGAAAGCGGGCATCGGGTTCGGTGGCAGTTGTTTCAAGAAGGACATTTTGAGTCTGGTGTACCTTGCCGAGTCACTTGATCTCGACGAGGTGGGGGAGTATTGGCGGCAGGTCGTCAAGATGAACGAGTACGCGCGCGAGAGGTTCACGAGGCGCGTGGTCAAGTGTCTCAACAATACCCTGGCTGGAAAGAAGATTACCATCCTTGGGTATGCTTTTAAGAAGGACACGTCTGATACGAGGGAGTCGCCTGCGCTAGAGATTATTCGGGCGCTGTTGGAGGAGGGACCTAGGGAGATTGCGGTGTTTGATCCGTGCTGTAATCCTCTCGTGATTCAAGCGGAGATCCGACAGCTCTGTGGTACACGGACAACGACGTCGGAGAAAGACGGTTATGGTGTTGGACCCGTGGTTGTGTACGGGAACGCGTATGACGCTTGTCGTGGTAGCAACGCGGTTCTCATCACAACCGAGTTTGACGAGTTTCGGAACACGGGTGAGCTCGACGCCAGGGATACGCCGGGTTCTGCGTCTTCTTCCTCTTCTTCTTCTTCTGATCCCCGCGGAAGCACGACATTGCGGGCGGCGGAGACGGCGGGTCAAGCGCTTCGGCAGCCGGATGTGAGACTAGCACTGGGGAAGGGGGAGATGGGCGCGGCGACTTTGGATGATCCACTCGGGCGATACGTTGCTGAGCCTGCTTGTGCGGGAGATTGCCCGGATTGTCGGGCAGAGGAGGAGGATCACGAGATCTCGGGATTTGTTTCCAAGGGGCCGGGGGCGGAAGAGGGAAAGACGGCCAAGGAGAGGGTTGACTGGGAGAGGGTTAACTGGGAGAGGGTGGCGGGCGATATGCTGGTTCCAAGGTGGGTGTTTGATGGGAGAGGGGTGATTGATGCTGATGAGATGGCCAAGCTGGGGGTTCGAGTTGAGAGTGTTGGGAGACGGGGGAGGAGTTGAGTTTTGTCTTTTTAGGGAGCCGGTAGAAGAAGTGTAGAAAATGTCTTCTGATATTGTACGAAATAATGAGTGATGTAAAGAAAGCCATGGTATACAGAAGCTATCGTGAGAGTTGAAGAGCCCAATTTGCATGAGCCTTGATAATCCCACCACCACCATTCAGGATCCCATCCTCTAAACATCTATGCCTAATGAGAAACTGACTCAAATGAGATAGGCAGAACCAGTGCCGACATGAACGGAATAAAGTCCGCAAGCACCTGCAGCTGTGGCATAGAAGCTTACTTCGCTTGCCTCAATGCGCATCTGATGCGTGTGCTCTTCTTTCCATCCCATTCTTGAGTCGCTGTTTCACATTGAAAACTTGAGATATTTCTTTCTCACCATCTAAAAGGAACTCCTCACATCCGGCTCGTGAGTTCGTCTGACGATTGTGCAGAAGGGAGATTGCAGGTTCTAGACTCGGAATCTTCACTATGAGTTGCCTAGCTGGCCAACTTCACTGCTTTCTCGTCTTCCCACTGAATGCTTTCTCTCAATGCTCATCATCTACTTCCACGATTATCGGCTATATCATCATGGGCCACAACTGCAAGCAAACAAGGACTGTTTCAAAACCTCGCGGGGCACTAGTAAAATAAACATCAATAAGCTCGTCATCAACGCAGAGCGTCAGATACCATTTGCTACGTGCATCGACTGACTCTCCCAATTCCACCACAGTGGGCTGTTTCTGATCACCAGCGTCCCCATTCCGTGGGAGGCATTGGAAGGATAGACCATGTCCGCGGCCATCGTGATGCATTGCGATTGGCGAGTCGGCGCGGTCTGTTCGCGTTTCACGTTGCGCTCTTCCCACCCAGCGCGCACGAGTCTCGAGCCTCAGTCAGGAGTCCAGGACTTGGGCAGTTGGGGTAGTGAAGATCCACGGAGAGCCAGAGAGAGAATGCGAGTAGGGATTCTGCCTCCCCTTGTTCGCCTCCTCCCGATCTCTCCCCATGCGATGGTTTTGTTTCCGAGACATGTAAGACGAGTCGTTCGAACCCAGATTTTGCCAGTTTCGGTATGAAGCCGTCTTGCGTTTCTCACCAGCTCACGTTCTCCCACGCACACTACCCCTTGTGCCCCTTGTGCCTCATCTTGCCCCCCTCCTGGTCCACAACTTTCTTTTAGAGTATTCTGCTCCGTTTTGAAGCTTGATAGGCTTGCCGGCGCGCGCCGGGTGGCCAATTTCGTCAGGTCCGGGGTAGTAAGCACTGGGGTGTTTGGTTTTCCTTCCGTCCAACCTTTTTTTCCTTTCCTTTCTGAAGCTTGAGCTGCCGTTTCATCCATGTCTGCTGTGTGCGGGAAGCGGCAGCGTCCTGAGTCTGAGGTTTTGATGTGTGACAGACGGCGTGGAGGGAGAGATGTGACTGTCTGATATAGGTGTTGGAACTTGGAGTACCTTTCTCTCCTTTGGATGATGTGCGGATGATCTTCTTCCTATTGATTTGCGTGTGCTTGTATCGTGACTTTGCCATAATTTTGCGACCAGCAAGCGAAAGGAGTTGATTCTCCCACGCGTCCTACGATACCTCATTACCGAATTCGACAGTTTTGGTTTTGTGCTTTGCCGGGAATCTTTCGGACCGAACAGGATGAGAGGAACAGAGGCATCAGTTCTGGTCATCTCGGGCCTCGTGGTACTAGCGAGCGCCAGAGAAGTTCAGGTCGACGACGTCCCCGTCGAATGCGCAACAATATGCGGCCCCATCGTCGAGCTGACATTCAAATGCGACGTCGACAACAGCTTCGATGAGCTCAAGAGACTAAAGAGGAGGAAAGCCGACGCACCGCAATACAGACCGCCGCCAGAAAGACGACACGCAAAGAGACCATCACCAGTAGGCGCACATGGGGTCGTTCGCCGCCACCACCACCGCAGACCGAACCAGAACGATGCGGTCGAGGTATCGACGCCCGGTCTAGACGAGCCCCAAGCTACAAACGTCGCACAACAGCCTCCTCAAGATGTGCAACAACCTGCCCAGGATGCACAGCAGCCGGCCGTCGACGCTACACCCGGCTTCATTGCCACGCTGCCCTTTTCTGCCCCCGCACCAGAGATCCCGCTGAGCACGAGTACGCCGGATACCCAGAACACACCTACACCATCGGCGCCGCCTCCTCCCCCGCCACAGGCAACGCCATCAATAGATACTCCACCGCAGGTACCGCCGCCTGTGCCTGTCTTGATCACATCGACTGTGTTCCTGACTGTGTCAGCGCCGACGATACCCACTCCGGCGGCGCCACCGCCGCCTCCCCCGGTACAGGCCCCACCGCCGGTACAAGCTCCGCCCCCGATTCAAGCCCCGCCTCCGGTCCAGCCGCCTCCGGTAATCACAGCTCCGAGACCCCAACAACCGCCACCACCTCTTCCACCATCATCGACATCAAGGCCGACGCCTCAGCAGCCCCCAGCACAGCAACCACCCCTTCAGCAACAACCACCCCCACAGCAACAACCTCAGCGTCCACCGCCGCCGCAACAGCAACCCGCTCCTTCATCCTCTCAACAGACCACGCCCCCGATTCTTCAGCCGACACCACCACAACAGCTTCAACCTCCCCAGGCGTCTATGAGCAACCCGGCCGCGATACCGATCATGGGACCGGGCCCGGAGAAGCAGCCGGATAACAAGTCGCCCAACGACCGTGAAGAAGCCGAGAAGCAGTGTACTTGTTCGAACAAGAGCTTTGACGTACAGTTGTTGGCTGGGTTGTGTCAAAGTTGCATTCGGAAGACTGGAAACCGGGCCAATAGTGAGTGCAGTGATTTTTGGTAACCCTACCGTCAGGAGGGGCCAATGTTGGGTTTGAAACACAAACTAACGGAAGATAGATCTGGACTTCATCATGAAGGAATGCAACTTTGTGGAATCGACATATTCGCCTGATAAAGATCGGCTCGTCGATAACATCCGCGTCGTCGCAGAGAAGCCGTTTTTGACGTCCAGCGGAAACGTCATGGCTGATGCTGGTAGAGTTGGGGCCGGATGCGCTGCTGCTATGGCGGTGGCTGTTAGTCTTGTGGCTGGGATGGCGATGCTTCTCTAACTCGTCATCGCGTAAGTTTTCTGGAATTGGAGTGGAGTTTTAATCATAACATACTGGGTGGATCTGGTTGATGGCCTGGAGTACGGTCTCGCTGGTTGTGGTTTGTCCAGTTTGAAAAAGAAGAAGAGAAGACTTAGACTTATCTAGTCGTCACGACTTACATTAGTAGGCCAATAATGAGAAAGGCACTCCGCGCTGTGTCGCAGGCCTATAAAGAGGTTAATGTTTGCGCGAGCTGGTACCGCTAACTTGTCATTCAAACATGAAAGCAATGGTAGTGTCGCAGAGCAACAACCGCCAATTCGCGTCAACCTGTGTGCCAGTATGTCTTTTGTCGCCGTCATCTCTGGATGGCAGTTGTAGTTTCCAAACCGCTGGCACTTTGATAAGTAATCCGCCTTACCTCCATGTTATTTTACTCAGCCTGGATGGATTGCTAGAGACGAAGCGACGAAGACTGAAGTAAACGAAGACGCTAATTAGCTGAGCGTAGTACTTGACCCAGAGATGCTACACCCAAAGCATGTGCCAAAAGAACGCCCATAAACTGGGCAAAGAATGTTTTCCATGAGAAAGAAGGTCTAATAATTGTATCCCTAGGATAGAGAGGTCAGTCACCATCCTGCTTTTTAATGTGGAAGCCTGTTTCTACCTTATTGAATGTACCTTCAACATGTGTAGCGACTCATTTCTTCCCTTTGGGCATTCCGTCAACTGAGAGGGACCACCACAATCACAGACGACAAAGGTTTTGAGTCTTGCAGACTTCATCCAGGTCGAAAAGGTCATGTAAACGTAAGTAGTAAATCAATTTCCGGCACTTATCGGCTCCCTAGTTCTCGGATGAAAGTTTGAGCGGGGGAGACGATGGAATTCCGCAGCAGTTGTCTTGCTCATCAGGCAACAGGATGCGGCCACCCTATTCTTGGCCGCTGGTTTGCATTGCCTCGTTTCCGCCTCCCACCACAACTATAAGTATCACACGAATGCCCTCCAAAAATTTGTCCTGCTCACTGGCATCAATCCAAGTCAATCGTTTCTTCATTTACTCTCCTATAGCCTTTCTTTTTCCTTCTCTTTGAATCTCATCGATTGTTGCACTTGTCCAGGTCTCTTAACTTCACCCCTGCAGTCAAGTTGCTAGCATACTTAATACCCCGGCGAGACCACGAAGGTCATCAAAAATGTCAGACATGGCTCACAACAAGGAGTACCATGTGCGAGACTTGGCCACTAGATCGGTCACACTCTATCCCAACAGTGCCCAGGTCGTGAGGGACTTGCGCAACCTACAACTGAAGGTGAGGATACCTGTGTCCCCTGCGGTGTCTCGTCCCACAACTAACTGGAACTTAGCCCGGCGCTAACGAAATCACCATACTTGGTCTTACACCCACAATTGATGAGTCTACAATCAAGGTAGATGGGGCCGGCTCAGCCATCATCACCGATATCGCCATTGAGCTTGTTCCCAACCGCGAGAGCTTCCAAGATATCTACCCCGACTCTGATGACGAAATGTCGGATGCCGACGTTGCTCACGATGAAGACGGAGAAGAAGAAGAAGAATCCGAAGAGAAGGAACCTTCGCCCCTCGACAAAGTGCGAGCCCGGATTAGACAACTGAGAGATGAGGAGCGCAGCGCCAAAGAAGTAGTCGAAAGCGCAGCCAATCGTCTCAAGATCCTCGATGCCCACGGAGCTTCACTCGAGAGCAAAGAAGGTGTCAACATCGCCGACAGCATCGAAACCTACCGAGCCGAGCGAGAACGGATCTTTCATGACCATGTAGCCGGAGTCACCCGCGGTCAAGACAACATGAAGCGCCTCAGCATCGCTCTCAAGCAAGAGACTCGGCTCGTGAAGAGGCAAAAGAGAGAGGCGGCGGACGCGACTCGTGCAATGAAGAAAGCCCGGAAAGAGCGGGACAGGCAGGCGCAAAAGGATGCTAGGGAGAAAGCGAAGTTACAGAAGGAGAAAGCTCGGATTCGGTCGGAGCGGGAGCGCTTCTGGCCTAAACTGTGTTACTCTGTTCGGGTGTCTCTCGAGGTGATGGCTTTCACTCCATCATCCTCTCGTCGTACATCGGTGTCGAGTGAGACAGCCCAGGCTTGGACATCGGCTTCTCAGAAGACCGACGAGGGAAAAGACATCCAGTGCGACTTATCACTGTCATATATGACTTCTTCCGCGTTCTGGGCTCCGAGCTACGACTTGCAACTGTTCACCACAAACAACACGGGCATTTTGTGCTACGACGCCCGCATCACCAACAAAACTTCCGAGACGTGGAGCAACTGCAAAGTCGTTCTTTCGACTTCTCAAGCCACATTTGCCGGACTCGAGAATGCCATACCCACGCTCAAGCCTTGGAACATCAAGCTGGCACCGAAAGAAGGCAACACGAACGGGACGGACATTCATTCTAGTCGGGAGGAACGCCAGCAACGGAGTGAATGGTGGCGTGCTCAACAGACCAAAGCGCAGCCCCAGAAACCTCGTAACGATTTGTTCGGCGTGGACTACAATAATGCCAGCAACACCGCCGCGAATCTGTCGGATTACCAGCAGCGCCTGATGGTACTTCGACAGGATTCAAAGAACCCACGACGGATGATGTACGCAGCACAAGAGCAAGATAAGACACAGCACCAGGATCAGATACAAGCGCAAATGCAGGCACAACAGATGCAGCAGATGCAGCAGATGCAGGCGCAACAGATGCAGGTGCAACAGATGCAGCAGATGCAGCAAATGCCACAAATGCAGCAAATGCCACAACCGGCCCAGATGCAGCGAATGCAGCTAGGTGGGTCAGCTCATGTGTCGAGACTTCAGGAGCCAGGTCAAGAGCCCATGGGGTCCGAAGCGTCCAACGAAGACGAGAACCTCGATTTCCAAGACTCGACTATCGAAGAGACGGGATTCACTACGACCTACGACCTCCCAGGCACAAAGACACTGCCGCCTCGCCCTACGGCATCCAAGCAGCGTGTCGCTCGCCTCAACTTCTCCAACATCGCCTTTAGCCATACCATCATTGCGAAGTACAAACCCGTTGCATACCTCAAAGCACGAGTCCGAAATAACAGCCGTCTCACTTTGCTACGTGCCGAGGCAGGTCTTACTCTCGACGGCACCTTCATGGGTCGCACCCACTTGCCGCGCTGTAGCGCCGGGGACGTCTTCTCCCTGGGTCTCGGCATCGACCCGGCGATCAAGGTCAACTACCCCAAGGTTGACGTCCGACGAACAACGACAGGGCTCTTTTCCAAGGAGAACAGCTCTGTATACAGTCGCAGCATCACCGTTTTCAACTCCCGTGCTTCGGCGGGTAAACCCGTCTCGCTTCTTGTGCTTGACCAGGTTCCCGTGTCGGAAGATGAGCGTCTCAAAGTCGATATCTTGGCACCCAAGGGGCTTGTTGTTGACGGTTCAGGCGTCTCGACCGGGCAGCCCGCTCGCGAGAGTAAGCAGGATGTCGACTGGGGCCAGTCGACGGCAACGTTGAAGGGACGCCAAGGTCAGGTGGAGTGGCAGGTGAAGCTCAATGCTGGCAAAGCTGTGAAGCTTGGCTTGGAGTATGTCGTTGCACTCCCTACAGGAGATTCGGCAATGGAATGTTCGTAGCCGTCGCGCGGCGATAGTTTCAAAAGATTGGTCGTCGAGGTTTGTAGGATGGAAATATTATCTCCTTGGTTAGACCCGTGTAATGTGGAAGTATTTTGGGCCGAGAGTTGGAGTCTTTACTGGGCAGTGTACGTGCTTTACTTTCAAGGGAATACTGACTCCATAAGGAGTTACATGAACTTTTTAGAATTACCTTCCAAATCGTAAGATCATCGTTGCGCAAGGTCGAAGCGGCGGATACAGCTGCCTACAAAGAAGCACCCCGAGTACAGTTCTACCATACGACAAAGCTTCATCGGCACACAGCCGAATTCAGCCGCCGGAAACTTAAGCCGGAGAAAGGGTCTAGAAGGTCTTTTGGAAGAAAACAAATAGCTCTATTCGGATTAGACGCTACCCGGCGAATTATTTCCCTTTGCCTCCTCAGCCACCTTGCTAACAATGCTCGCTTAATTATCGCTGACAATGTCAAACAAGTCGGAGATTTCGTGCGGAACCAAAAGAAGGATGGGCATTTGATACGGACCAAAGGTTCACTTCGGATGGATTTGGGGCCAATTGAAAGTTAATCAGCTCTTACCTAATGTTTCGACATTTCCGATTCTGGCTTTTCGTGGTAAACAAGTTGCCGCCAATCATCAGACCAGGCCTTCCAGGCCCAGAAGGTCCGAGTCCTGGAGCACGCAACTTAGGCCTCGCATCGTTGACGATTCTGGTATTTTGCAATTCTTGGGCGTGAAATAAACGAGGGTTTATCGAAGAGACGTGATTGCAAGTTGAGTCTACGGGATGAGGTGATGGCCTCCTCTACCTTGAGTTGCACTAAAACAGAAGGGGACGGATAGGGGCGAGGGCTGACACCTTGGCGCAAGGACTGTCAACGCTGGGCTGTACGCTATAATCTCAATGGTCGCATGAATCTGTCAATCAAACGCTTTTATTTTAGATCTTTCTATTCATATGATTTGTTTCCGCAACTCTGTGCTCAGCCCCCAAGACAGACCACGAAACCGACGGAGCAACTAGCTATACCCTTATTCTCCAAATACCATGCGGCTTGCGGGTAATTAAGTTCCATGTGTCTCAAATAATGATAACTCTTGACGCCACCTGAATGAAATTCAAAGCTACTCAGTCTCGATCTTCAGGACTGGAGACTTTGATCGCTCGCCACGACGAGGCCGGCGGCAAGGTCGAGGAAACAAGTTGTTTCGCAGCCGTAAGTGAATCTTCTTGAAGTGTTCTCTCTGCAAATAGTGTTAGATCAAGTTCTCAAACAAAGTTTACTTTCGTAAACTGAATGTTCAACGTGAAGTAAATGCGGGCGTAACGTACCATATTGTCTTTCCGACTAAAGATTCTCCCACAATCTTGGTGGGGACACATAATCGTCGGTCTGTGGGAGCCCATATGCCGCTGGTAATCCTTCCGAGTCGCGAATCCCACACCAGCATTCGCACAAGGCTTCTCCGTGCAGAAGAAGTACTTGTCATGTCCGCGAAAGTGTTTCCTCAGGTCGCACGCACGCATGAATACACGCGAGGATCGACATCCCTCAAACTTGCAGCGCCAGTTGCCGCTGGCGTCGAGATAACCCATCCGGCGAAGGTCTTCCGGCTCCCAGACCTCCTCCTCGCGTTCCTCTGCCGGGCTCTGAGAGCCCTCACTGGTGCTCAGAATATCCCAATTGGGCGACGGCACCGCTGCCTGCATCACTGGTGGTGTTGAGTGCGCGAAAATATGCGTGTTGCTGGCCTCGACCAGATGGTTGGGATCGTAGTGTGACATGGCGCCGGAGGTCGTGCCTAAATATGGCAAAGGCTGATAGATGGAAGCGACAGAATCTGGATGCAACGTGGGCTGAAACCATTCTCCGGTGCAGGTAGAAGGCCGCCCCATAGTGTATGAGCATTCCATGCTTCGCGGCTCAGCTTCGGGGTAGGTGCTCAGTTCGTTGTGGCTGATATGGCTGTGGCCGTACTGCAAATATGGCTGCTCCATGGTGATTGATGTTTTATCGTGTGTTGCAGCAAAAGTTGCCATCTAGTGGACAATCTCAAAACTGACGGTGATGAATGATTCGCACAAGTATGGCCGCAACGGATGAATGTCGAAAAGAGGCTGATAGCTCCGAGTTAAAGAAATCTGCCTACCGGACGAAAGCGACGGAATTGTCAGCCGTGATATATATCTGGTGGTGATAAACTCTATTGTAGAGCCCTTGTCAATAGTATTGCGCCGGTATAGTATTTTGGGGCTGCTGTTTCAGCAGTACGTACTGGATCTACCCAATTCCCACAACTCTCGGCACCCTGCTTTTGGCCGCCGAGATGTTCGGCCCCGGTGACGCCTGGGCAACATTGTCGGCAGCGAAGCGTGGGTGCAACCACTCGGCAATCATTCCTTTGGTCTCGTTGTAATATTACTAAGTGGTGTGGCCCATGAATGGGCTGGCCCGGTTCCCCCGGTCCGGGATCTCCCCCGTGAAATGACGCTTGGATTCCCCAGTACCACGGCTTGACGGACTATGTAGGCTAAATCCCCTGTCAATGTCAGTGTGTTCATATAGGGCTCGAATCCAACTCCCCCGAGTGGATGGGTTTGAGTCCGAGAGCAGTATCACCGTAGCATCAAAGTGACACACTTGAGCTCGTTCATGACTTGAAGAATGAGAGATATCTATGTTCTGCAAAAGTTGAACCATGTCTCACCATATCTCGCAATACTGACAGTCTTCCTTCGAACTCATTGGTGATGATGACACTTTTCTACTGCTGGAAACGATTGGGACAACGGGTTATTGCTGCGTCGTCATAGTCATATACAAGAAGTACAAGTCGCTGATTCTTGTCAACTAAATTCATGATAGAGTTAGATTCACCTCTGTCAATCAAGCCGGCCATTGAACTTCCCTTCATTGAAACACCGGACTTTGCGCCTGGTGTAAAGAAGCCGCCTTTGCACTAACCGATTTTGATGAAGATCAAGCGAGGACATTTCACTTCCAGACAGTCTATTCTTACTAAGTTTACTCCATCTCGAGATATTCTTGGCAGTGAATTGAAATCCAGGAAAACGCAAACCAGCAGCAAGCAATGCAGCAACGATATGCTCTGCCGACGTCTTTCAACATGGACAAAGTAAAGTAGACAGCGGGTACATTGACTAGATCGAGACCCCTCGAGCTAGGGTTCCCTACGTTTAACGCTATAGTCAAGTGCAATATGGATGGTTCGAAGCAATCGTGATACGGATTAGAGGCAGAATCTTGGGGTGCTCAATACCAGCTTGATCAGAAACTCGGTTTCGCATTCTATCTCGCTGAGCATTGCGTGTAATATTCGCACGATTCCATTGAAGGTCTTCAATGATTCTAAGAGAACATACGTGTTATTCAAGCACCATGAGATGTACCTGGAATATTTTAGCAACACGTGTGTAGTACTTTGATATCATGACCACAAAATTTGATCGAACACTTCATTCTTCGTAAGTAGGGATTCTTCAACTAGGCTGGCGTATGATTTTAGGCTAGTGCGATTATTACAGCTTGCAACGTACCCCTGGTATTCATGAGTATGATCGGCGGAGTGCCATCCCCCTTCTTCTCTCTTGATCCACGGGACCGACAATGGCCTGTACGGGCCCGATAATTGCCCAAAAAATGCCGACGCACTAGTCTTAATCTACAACCTTCACTTCGTTTGAGAGAATTCTATGCGAGCATTACCCATTGGCACTACTTGTGCGGAAATTCGTCCAACTGAAAATGGATTCTTTTGACGCGAGAGCGAACTACAGGCCGGCCTCAAGTTCGCGGAACCCGTGGAACCCTACAAAATGTTGGGACGGACCTGATAAGCAGTTCTCGAACTCGTACGCGGTTTGACAACAAATTCGCGATGCCTCTTGCGAACGGCGGTTCCGCCTGCTTGCCTCCGTAGACATCGGCAGTTGCAAATCCTCGTCCGATCTTCGGCCACGGCCTCGCAGATCCGGTCTCCCGGGGGGCCTGGAAGCCCCGGACGTTGCACTTAACGGCTGCTCCGTTATTGGATCATGCGGGTGGTTTGCATTGCGACTGGCTCCTGAAAGCTGTCATTAGTCCCACTGATGGGCTGGGGGACCTTGTTCAAGTCGCTTGTCTAAGTCGGGTAGAGTTTCGAGTTGCATCTGGCAAGTTTGCCAGAATTATCTCCAACCTGTTTTTGGAGGACGGCTGCATCAGCTTGCAATCATCAATTGCCTCTCTTGGATGTTTGCAACGTGCCCCGGTTCCGATGAATGTCTGCGGCACGTTGTCGCTGGTTTTCGAAATGGCCTAGGTAGTCGAGACCCTTGTGGAGATGCCTTTGCCATGACTTAAGAAGAATATTGTCCAAGGAGACTTCAGCTCGCCCGACTGACACGATATTGTCATCATCTCCGCATCTATCTCACGGGTTGATAAAATCATCCGACTCTATATAACCAGAAACCTTATTTCTCACTATATTTCTTCTGCGATGGCCATCAGTGATGCTTTTACTCCAGCAAACCCCCAAGAAAGAGAGTTGTTGTATTAATTTGGTCGTCGCGCATAGGAGAAACGATTCTGCAGAATGGCATTAGGGCTGGGTTCAAATGGGAAACCCAATGGGCGTTTCTCCAAAGACCCTCCTTTTTCCTTTATACTGTTTTTTTCGAGTCTCGAATTATTTCCTCAGAGGGTAGCGGATGTTAGCCACTGTTCCACTCGACAAGTAAGGTAGAATGCTCATGACTATTTTTGGCCAACCTTCATCAGGTGACCCAACAACAGCATGAAAAGGATCCAATCATCCTCATCCTACTTGTTCGAATCAAGCTTCCTTCCTTGCAAAGAGGCCAAAGAACACGGCAGATACCAACTTGCACTTTGAGCTGGTTCCGTTGTCCTTAACACCCCCCGGTGCGCCGACAATCAGACGATGCTTCAGTCACCAAGTGGCAAGTTCTCAAAGGTCTTGGGGTCTCCCCAGACCGCTATCGGTTGGGACTTGTGCTAATGAAATTGGTGTAGCCTTGCTGAGCAGTGGTACTCTGATGGCTCAGTCAGATGCCGCCCAGAGACTGACGGCATCTCCTCCCCGCAAGCCGTCTTGGCGACCCCGGCTCATTGGGGGCTCCATACAGCCTTCGGTTCCCTAGAAAGTCCCTGTAAACTATCCGAGATTCTGACATGATGTTGCATGAATCATAAATTGGCTACTAATTAGGTCACAGCGCGAGGATGGATGATGACATCCCGTCTCGGTAAGGCTGTTGACATGGTTGAATGATAAGTGAGGAGGCGTCTGTTTTGGGATGACGGTGTCAAATTGAGTGATAAACGACTGTCTACTGTCAATTAAAGTTTCATTAAGTGAAAAAAACTGGTAAAATTTTTGCCAGATATAAAACTACCCAGAATTTGTTGGAGGGCCAGAGAAAATGAGAATTCTGGGGCGTCTGCCCTCAATAAGATTTGGTTAACATAAGAGTAATATTGTTTGGGAAATGACTATATATAGGTAAAGGACTTTGACAAAACTCCGCAAATTTCAAGCAGTCTATGAGAAAGTAGAGCGTATTCCAAGTGGAATTCTAGTAGAATCATTCTGTGTTAATAAGCTATGTAGGCAAGTCTAAACATCATAGGTACCTAGACACCTAAGACCGAATTCGCCCAGGTCTAACATGTCTAGCATAAAGCGACTCCTGAGTGGTTACTCTTCGTAAAGAAACCATGCCTTCGAATTTATCAACATAAGAAATTGATATTGAACCTTGTTGAGAGGCAAAGCCCTTTTCCCGCATCAGCTTGTAGAGCTGATCCGTAAAATCCGGTTTGTTGATTGATCAAGGCACCCTCTTGTACGAGCAGTCTGACGATCGATAGATGTCCATTGATAGCCGCAGCCTGTAGAGAATCGCCGAACTGTCCGCATGCATTAATCAGTGCGCCTCTTTCAAGTAGTAGCCGGACAGTCGACTGATAATCGAGCAGCTAGGCTGTTCTCAAGAGAGAACCGAAAGCGCCGCTGGCCTCAATATCCATTCTCTTGTCTAAGAGTAGTTCCACCATCGATTTATGGTTAAATTAGACCGCAAGCGCAACAGCGTCCGAAGGGAGAAGACTTGGGTTGCTGGGAGTTTGACTTAGAAACTGCTGCAAGACGCCGCTTTGTCCGCTTTGTATCGCCTTCCTGATCTTGATTTTCGTTCGTGCTCTTGCACCTATGGTCAATTTTGGAGTAGCAGATGGAAATCCATGTAGTTTCTGGACTGCGTTGGCAAAACCGACCAAGGCTGTACTCTCAATGGCCTTCTCATACTCTCCTCTATCCCTGACAACGACTCCCAGTTCCAGAAGATGCATCGCTACGTCTTCTTATCTACCGCGGCAAGCAGCTTCAAATGCTACTCCAAATCTAGATCCACACGAAACTTCGGCTCCATGGAGGAGGAGATCTTTAACTACTTGTAAATGGCCAGAAATTCATACTGCGTGTAAAAGACTATCATGCCTTCCATACTGAGAGTTGATGAGGGCGCCGCGATCAGCAAGTAGAGACAATGTTGCTGAATGCCCACATGCCGCGGCTAAGTAGATGGGAGTCTGGCCCAAATGGTTTTGTAGGTTGACGTCCACGTTGTTGATGTTCGCCAACGCTTGGTGTAGAATGTAGTCGAGTCCAAATGTGCTGATTGTAAATAGGAACCCAGAATTTGATGAGTCAATCGCACTTATTTGGCCTTTCAGGGCATGGTATCTTGAAAGAAGTAGAGCGATCTTATGGGCGTTCACCGTCCAGCTCTCTTAACAAAGTGTGGTATCCCAATCCTCATCAAAGATGAATGTTGTTACATCGTTTTCGACACGTTTCGTAGTAAGTGTGTCTTTGCCAAACTTTAATGCCAACTTGGAGTGGACCGGCCAGTACATGGATGCGTAGGTATAAAAATCGTCGCTTGGAATTTGCACCCCGTCGATGGATACAGGATCTAGTCCTCGCGAGCAGACTCCGATACACAGAGAGGCGAGATTATGGTGAGCTGTGCCAGGTAAAAAGGCCCAGCGGTGACTCAAGAAGTCGCGAACTGACCGATGAGAAAACCGTAGTGTGTCGCACTTGCCGTCTAAGACGACAAGGTTGGCACAAATCACTAACAGTTGTGCCAAGTTCAAGTCCAAGCCTTTTTCAGCGGCTATGGCCGTTAGTAGGGCTCGTGGTCTCGGCGGTTCTATCATGTGTAGAACACAAGACAGGACTATTGTGGCAATGCCTTGGGCTATTTCCCCAGAGTGGGAAATGTAATCAAGAGACTCTTGGTAAAGAAGGTCAAGATCCTGGGGGAGGTTGTCTCGAAGGACTGCCACGACATCCTCTTCGACAGCCTAGCGACAAATTCGTTCGACTTGTAATCTCGCCCATAGGAACCTAATCATTGTCAGAGAGAAGGACTTCTTGACCTTACGTATACAAACCATGAGGATAATTGTGCGTAATGACTTACATTTCGTGAGATGTAGAAAGTAGTGCATCAATGATGACCGGCCTTTCTATCTCATCGACGCTGTCAACGCCGTCTATCACAATTGTCATGGGGTCCTGTTCGGCAATTTCTAGAATGAGTCGCACGCAATCTGGGGCATACAGTTTTGCCAGGTCGAACTTGCCGGCTCTGGCCAGCGCCACCTGCCGTTCGTATTCGCAATCAAGACATGCTTTTAGCTTGGTTCGATGAACTGGATCGATGGAAACCTGGAATAATATGGTCCTCAATACATCGTCTGCAGAGCGCCTCTCCTTCTCAGACTGAGGATTTGCGCAGTAAAAGTACCCGAATGGAGCCGCTGTTGACGTCTTGCTAACCATTGAGAGCATTGAGTCAACAAAGACGGAGCACAGTGTCGATTTTCCGGAGCCGGGAATACCATGTATCAGAAGCAGTGAGGATGAGCTCGAATTTTGCCACGCGACAAACTTCTCGTGTTGCAAAAGCCACTGGCCGGCACCAGAAAGCCGAGACTGAGCGATGAATTGGTGGTGGTGGCGGTAATATGGCGCCACACACAGCCTGTCGAGGATTTCTTTGAACCCATCTTCTGACAGTGTCTGGGATGACTGTATCGACATCCTGGCAAAGGATCCTTCTAGAGACCTTAAAGTCTCTGCGTCTGATAATGTGGCAAAGGCGTTGACTTCGTCTTCCTTCTCGGCTAGAGCCTTCGCTCGAATTTCGTTCATGGATCGGATTGGCGCTTTGAGAATTCGGGCTGGCCCAGAGAATTCATCGTGTGAGTGTCACCAGCAAGCTTCAAAACTTACTGATGGACTTTTCCCGGTAAGACCCAATGGCAGTACTCAGAAACGCGAGGACTTCAGCGTAAAGGCCAACCAAGGCCTCTTCCAGTTTCGGCTGTGTCTCGGACTGGGCGCCTGGCAAATACACCTTTTCAAAAATGTGATATCGAACCAACATCCGAGCGGAGTCTTCAACTACGGCGCCAGTTAGTATTTGTCTGCGATGCGCATCTTTCTGCGTCGAACACGACACTCCCGCTCCTCTGCCATTGCTCCAAACACCTGGACCTCGGATACGGCAATCTGGAGGAGGAATCGAACAGCTGCCCATGGTAAAGCCGCGTGTGAAGGGTCGTATTGGACGAGAGTGTCTCCGGTCTCCTTGAATCGCTGGACCCAATGGACTATCTTCTCCAAGACATCTCGCACGATGACAACGTTGCCGTTTGGCTTGGTAAACTTCCACCTCTTGCGCATCGACAACTGTTTCTTCTCTTCGGCCACTTTCAAAACATCGGCCTACGTGCAGCATCAGTGACTGACCCCGTATCTGAGTTTTGGTTATGGAGTGGCGAAGCGGAGAGCACACAGTAGAATGTCTTGTCTGTGACTTGTCGCTAAGGCAATGCTTCCACGGATGTCGGGAGGGAGTGACTGGAAGGCCTTGCCCCAAAGATCGATATCTGAAGCCATGTTGCGATACTAATGAGCAGGATCTTTGAAAATTTCGCCGTCAATGATGGAAGGAAGCTCAGAGTGGGGGCGATGTCGTCGTCAAATTTCTTTTTGGTGGTGTTCAATTCGACTTGCAGAATGCTTGGTCAACTTCGAGACTCCGCGATGCAGAGGAAGGAAGAATGAACTGCTGTAACATACCTCGGGCTGGGTACTTAGCTGGTGGATTCACGGCAGAGTTTTCGGGCCGCAAACGCGTGCCTTCCAAGTCAGACGCCGAACGGAGTACGTAGTGCGATCAGGTGAGGTACGGCGAAGTACGGTGAGGCAGGCGAGGCAGCTGTGGAACATCACTGCTTAAAACAGGCCCCGCCATTTGACTGCTTTCCTTGGGTGGCAGACGGCGACTACCACGCTTTGGTTATTGAAGCTCACGGGGATCGTAGCCTAGTGCCTCCTGTTTGGAGCCTAGATGCCCAGACGCGACTGTATGATCGAGCTACATTTATCAAGCTTCTCGACACGAATGCTCTTCACCAACTGAGACCTACCGTTGCTCGGTCAAGACAACTCTCACCCATGTTGTGAAGAGATTGAGGCGTCTGGGGAAATTTACATAGGTGGCAATATTGCACTGAGCGATCATGATCATGATCACTTTTCCAAGTCGTCCCTAATAACAGAATACAAAAGCTCATCCATCACAATCCCATCCCTAACAACAGCCCTCCTCGCCCTCCCCTCAAACACAAACCCACTCTTCTCAAGAACCTTCTGACTCCCCTCATTCGCCTCAAAAACACCTGCCCAAACCCTCTCAACCTCCGTCTTCCGATCCTCGTCCTCCTCCCCACCACCCATCCCCTCGAAAACCCACCTCACAAAAGCAGGCACAACACACCCCATAACCCCCTTCCCCCAATCCTCCTCCCCAAGCCAATACCCCAGCTCATACCCCCTCGCATACACATCCTTCCCCGGCACGAGCCCGATGCTCCCCATAGGCCTCCCCGTTTCCGGACAGGCGATGATCCAGTTGTACACCGGCGCGCCGCCGTCGCTGGAATTCATCGCGATCCAGGACTCTGCGTCGGCGAGGGTGTAGGGGCGGGGGAAGGAGTCGCGGAGGTAGCGGGATACGGAGGGTGAGTTTGCTGCGGTAGAGAGGGCGGGTGCGTCTGTTTTGTGGTAGGGTCGGATTGTTGCTTTTGTGAGAGTGAGAATTGCGGGTGGGAGATCTTTCGTAGCTGACATGTTTGCCAGCTTTTAGGGTTTGGAATCTTTGCAGACTCTGAGGGTTGTAGGTTGGTGAGTATGTATTGAGTTGTGAGCTGTTTGCTGGAAGTTGGTTGAGAACTCGAGGTGTTGTTGTATGTTGTGAGAGTGTGACTAATACTACTCAATTGTGAAGCTGCCATATACGGAATAGTTTCGGGGATCTGGACATGGGTCCAGTGACTCTTTTGCTCTCTGCAACGATAAGGTCCGCTGACGGCGAGATGAGTTTCCGCGTCTGCCTAGCAGCATTACTCAGGTCCTTCCCAGCTGTGATACATCAACAAAGACACACTGAAAGTTTCTGCTGAGAATACCTCAATACAAGGTCTAGATTCCGGACGAAGATTAGCGGCCGTTGAACGGACAAGACAATACCCAAACGGCAACGTCCGCCAAGGTCCGGTTTTGAGACCCTTCTCCGGACCGTTGAAGAACGAGCCAACCCGTCCAGGCTTCCTGAACCAAAATACCGAGCCATTCGAGACGGGGTTGAAATGCACGCACGCCTCCGAAAGACATCGCATGTTAGAAAGACGATATGCATGCGATAAATATAGAGATTGAAGTTTCAGCTCAGGCGCAAGCTTGCGAGATGGGCGTAAAAAGTCTGTCGCTGTAGTTCCCCAACAGGATTGAGTTCAAGCCTGACTGACCCCAACGCAGAACAAACAAGCTTGAGCGAAAAAACAATAAGCTTAAAACGCAACCTTTATCGGCACATGGGATGATGAACTCTCCAGAGAAGCATCAAACAATGCCAAAAGGAATTTGCACACAATCGCTGCGAGGATTTGAGCCTCACGCGGGGGTCGAACCCGCAACCTTGAGATTAAGAGTCTCACGCTCTACCGATTGAGCTAGCAAGGCGGCTGGGGGCCGTATTTGATTGGTGAGAATTTCGGCCGGGTCTGCGCCTGAGTTTCGTTAACGACTTGCGAGACGGCCGGTTTTCGTTCCCCTGGTCTCGCCCCCTCCTCTCCCGGCGAGTCGTGAAAGCTGCCTGCCGCTCCCCGGCCTCTGGAACGATGGATGGCGATGCATCCACTCCTGCAGGAGCCAGAAGGAAGAACCCCCACGCCGTTTTGGAGCACGTCTCTCATTAATGGGTTGACAACTGGGTATCCGCAGCACACACCAAGGACTCCGAAACCAAGTTTCCAAACACGTTCCCCCATTCGAAAATGCCCTAACCAATACTCATAGAATCCAAGCTGACTCGGTGTAGTCCTTGGCCCCGTTCTGCACCATGTTCTTGGTATACTTCATCCAGCACCAGTTACTATCCTCCCCTTGCTCGCCCTCGTAAATGTACACAACACCCTTGCAAGGGCCTTTCCTCGACTGCTGCTGCAGGTTGAACGCCGCGCAGTACCGCACGCACTCTTCGAAATTCTTGGCCGGCACCTGCGCGATGTCGTTGTAGAGGTAGTCTGTCCCGCAGTCCTCGCTGAACGTCAGGTTTGTCCCGGGCACCTGGTACGTCAACACGGAGCTGGACCCGGGACACTTGTTGAGCGCGATGGGCGTGTCCGTGGCGGCGGGCTTGCTTAGGTCGAAGGCGGCTGACGATGATGCCGAGGTGGGTGTGGCGGTTGATGAAGAGGAGGATGGCAATTGGAGGCTGTGGAGATGTGTTAGTCGTACTGTGAGAATGCGGCTGTTTGTGTGTTGTAGGCGAGGAACTTACTTTGCGATTTCGTTGTTTTTGCTTGCCACCAAAGCACCTAATCCGCCAGCCACACCGACCAAGGCGCAGAACAGCAGACTGGAGAGAATCAACAACCAAAATGTTGCCTTGCGCAGCCCGCATATTGTGCCGTCGTCCTTGCTTCTCTTCCCTTCCGCCAGCTGCTTTTCCGGCATCGGTGAGTGCTGATTTTGAGCGTACGTCGTCTCGGTGTAATTCGTCTGTGGCGTGTGAGGTTGGTGTTGGTGCTGATGCTGATGCTGGTCGTAGTACAGATGCGCCTGTGCCGGCTCATATGATTGCGGCGCCGTGCTGTAGTTTGCTCCGGTGTTGACCTCCAATCCATCCGGGATGGCATCGCCTTCGGGGCCGGGCCCACCGTTTGGGTGCTTGAGCATCTTTTCTGCTTCAGGTGACGGGGAGTTACTGCTATAGTTGCTGTGCCTGTTGGAATAGAAGTGGTCGTGCGGATGTAGCGATGCCATCGCGCGGAGGGGAAACCGAGACAAGCCACGCTTTGGGACGACGGAGTGAAGGAGGAGGGGAAGGACTTTAAATGAGGCTGCCAAGCACCAGGTAGGGGTAATATGGCCGAACGTAAGAAATGCGAGACAAGATGGGCGGCGAAGAATGGTCGAGGACTCTCGAGATACTTTTGTTGACGGGAAGCGACATGCAGGATTGACCGTCTTGTGCCACACCGCGCGCGCAACAAGGGGCGGGGCGTCATCAGCACTTATACCGGCCGGCTCGCTGGTCCAAGACAATTCAGGACGCCATCCGTCCCACGGCCGTCACAGCGGTAGGGCTGGGGCGAGAATAGTACCTGTCCGTACGGGGTACTGGCCCGCCGTTACAATAAGCTTGCTCCTGTAGCCTGAATCTAGACGTGGGTAGCCAAGGCAGAAGAGTCTCAAGGGAGCATCGCCCCCTGACTTTACCCAAGGAGACTCAGCCTAGAGGCTGAGGGAGGGTGGTGGCCGTCACCGTGGTATTCTCAGCTTTGTCCAATGAGAAATCAGGCGCGGCAGCGATCAGCGCCAAATGGGTTCACACTTGGGATCTTTGGCGCGCGAAGGATTCGACCCCCCGACCAACTCTGATGCATCGTTGGGTCATCGAATGTTTTCTCAGAGTACCTTTGTGCCAAAGCAGCGCGCCAAAACACTGGTCGGCTGTTCGAGCAAGCTCTGGGACTCGGAAGTAGGCCAAAAAGATGAAGACGCCCTCCGAGAGCCACCCAATTTCTAAGCGGTCGCCGTAGGATTCGGGACTGAGACATCCCTAGTTTCTCCGGCCTTGCGACTGTCAGCCATTGGGAGCGTTGAGCAAGGCGTGTCGTCTTCTGTCTTCCTCGGGGTTTTTGCTTGGAAATCGCCCCTTTTCAGCCCCCACGAGAGTATGACACGGGGATGAGGTGCAGCCGCGCTTCGCTCTTGGGATTTCTTCAGTGACAGAAGCTTGAGTCCGTCCAGCACACTGGGCCATGCTTCATGCTGGCAGCTTCGCGAGCTTCGCGTCCTAATATGGCCAAGTGCTGACGGTTAAAGTATGGGTGGGGAACCCGGTGTCGCCCCCGAGTGATGGCCGGCCGGGCGGGTCTGTCCGGCATCTTGGCTTTTTCATTTCTCATTCGGTTTGATACCACTCCCGCCGGGTATTACCTCGAATGCTGCTCGCCACACATGCCACCACCGCCTCTGAAAGTTGGATGCATGCCATACCTGCCATTTTGAGGTAGCCAAAGAGGAGGAGAAAGTCCTGAAGTGGTGACGCTGGCAGGCCTCAGGCCCAGGCCGTAATCAAGCTCAGAGACAAGCTTCGAGCCAAAATCTCGTCAGAACGTGGCGCACCTAGCGGCTCCTCCCGCCAAACACGCCGCGCTGACCGTCTTTGGCCAAAGGGTCCTTCAATGTTGGGGTTCGAGACGGGCTGGCGCTTAGGCGGTAACTAAGGCATATGCGATCTTCGCATTCTTGTTTGCGCTTTCGCCTGTGTGTTTGCATTTCTTCCCTCGAGTGAAAAGCCGGAAGGGACTATAGATATGATATGTCGGCGATTCTATGTATCTTTCCCCAACGCCACAGGCGAGCCTTGGGGTGCACTGGCAGAAGCTGTCGTACTTCACGAAGCGCTTCCCGACACGGCACGCTATATCCGTACAAGCGCCAACTCGAGGTCTGTTCAAGTGCGAGAGAACTCTAAAGACCGTGACGTCAGCTAGGCCTCTGGTCAATGTCGGGGCTTGTGCTTCAGATCAGACGTCCGTCATGACCGAGCGTGAGGATTGAGGATAATCCCGTTGGGCTGCCAACTACCTTCTTGCCATCTCAACCTCAATCGCTCATCTCCACGAGAGAACGAACAATCGAGAAAGTCTCCTGGGATCAATTGACACGAATAAGAAATCGCCCTTGGTCATGTGTCGCTGGTTTGCTTACCTGGGCGATGAAGCCCAGCTTCTTGAAGATTTGGTTATTCGGCCGCGCCATGCCATTGTGAAGCAAGGTGAGTGATATGCCATGGCGTCTCAGAGGGGCTTTTCATGATAATATCGGTAGTGGACGAACACTTCCTACCGGCTGGCCATTCAACGGTTGAACCGTTTCTTGGGGAGCTTCAGGTCGCTCCTTTGGCGGCCAACGACGCAGGCTCACCGAATCCATTGACCAACATGGACGGATTCGGCCTCGGGTGGTATACGTCGACAGAGTGCGAGTTCAATCCGTATATCGATCCAAAGTGGCCCGAGTCCCTTCGTCCAGTTGTGTACAAAAACACTCGACCTCCGCTCAACGATTTAGTCCTCAAGAGCATCGTTCGAGGCACCAGCAGCAATGCCGTCCTCGCCCACATCCGCGCAGCACCGGGCCTAACGCCAGTTGTAGAGACCAACTGCCATCCCTTTGCGTTTGGTCGTCACTTGTTCGCCCACAACGGCATTCTCGGGTCTTTTCCTCGTATCCGTACGGCAATTCTGCAATATCTTCCGTTGAGATACCAGCAGGCCATTGTCGGGACAACAGATGCTGAGCACATTGCGGCCGTGTATTTCTTCATACTATGCGGTAAGGATGGCGATTGGGAGTCTGTTTATGATGCTGGAGAGATGACGACGGCGATGCGGGAGACAATCATCATCCTCGAGAAACTGCAGACCGAGTTTGGGCCGCCAAGCCGAGAGGCCAACACACTCAACCTTGTTGTCATGTCTGGCAACTCGCTCGTCGCTGTGCGATATGCCAGCCCGGAAGGACTGGAACCACCGAGTTTGTACTACTCGACGACGGCTGGCGCAACGCTCAACCGCAAGTACAAGGGATTTCCGAGCGACGTGAGTGACTCTGCCGATGGGGGTGACGGGGATGCCGAAGACGACGGGCGGCTAGAGAAGAAGAAGCATGGCGAGCACGTTGTGGTAGCCAGCGAGCCCAGCACCTTCAATCAGGGCGAATGGGAGCTTATCAAGCCATCACAGATGGTTGTTTCTGAGCTGGGTACTGGTGCCTATCTCGAGCACCTGTGAGTAGTGATCTGCGACGGTCACGTATTTGACGAGAGTTGCTAGGCAATCTTTGCATTGGCGTTTGGACGTTTGATTATTGGCCGCGAGTTCCAAACGAGTTATACATGTATCGCCGCGTTCGAATTGTCTATGCCTTGTTTGGAGTTAGGATCGTACACACACGGTGTCAGCATCTTTCATTATCAGAACTACCACGAGTATGCTCAGCTCCTTCTCCTGGCCGTCTCATTTTTCGACGGCTGTGTCTAGTCGTGCTTCAATCATCCCGGTGCCTTCATGTGCGCACCCGCGTGGCGAAGGGTGAAAGAAAGGAACTCTGCCTGGTATCAGTCCCACCTCATGGCAGGTCTGTCGATCCTCAGACGTGGCTCCCGCGGACTGATTGGCGGCATTGGCGTAGCACACCGGCAAGTCGCCTGCCAGGAGCAAACACTACCACCGTCTCGTCGCTGTGTAACATTGTAAGTTAGGAAGAAGATGGAAACAAAATTTCAGCGAAAGAGCAGCAAGCTCACATCAGACCAGAGTAATCGGAGGAGCGCGAGGTCAAAAGAGAGAGAAGGTTGAACACGTTGGCTGGTAATACCTAAGGTAGGTGACAGATGGAAGGAGGTGAAGACGGAAGAAAAAGGTCAGAGGTTCCGTAGAATCCATGTCTGTCCCGATCGGGTTGAAGCAACAGAGAAGGGGGAGGGAAGCTGCTCCTGCCATGTCAGTAAGTCAAGTATCTTAGGCAGGAGCCCCTTCTTTTCAACACACTTCACCTTCCTTCCTAACCTGACATTGTCCACTACTCACCTCTTGGTCATCTTTTTCCTTCTTTCTTTTGTCACCGTTGTTCTACACTCTTTTTCTCTCCTCTACCCTATCAAGACTCAACCATCGAGCTGATTCTCTATCCCATTTGGCCACCATTTCACCCGCAGCCTGTACGTCTACTCCATACTCGACAGCAATTTCGCACTGGGCCTGGGTACCTCCGAGCCGATCATCGCTTCGATAGTGCGTCGAAATTCGCCCATTACGCGTACAGCTTCCGACTGCCGGGAATGATGGCGTATCGAACGCTGTCCGTCGTTCTTCTCTCCTTAGCCCTTGGTCTTCTGGCCACGTCTACTGCAAGCGCAAAGGGCGACTACGACCAGTGCTACTTCGATGCTGGTTATGTCGGTCCACCTGACCTTCTCCCTTGCTTACCGGCGAATGAAACAAAAAATGGCTACAGTTGGTGCTGCCTGGCGGGCGACTTCTGTGTCAATCAAGCCTGTTGGGATCGACCATCTGGCGTGACTTATCAGTATGGCTGCAATGACCCGACCTACAAAGACGAGAGCTGCCCGCTCAAAGGTGATTTAGATCGAGGTATGTTCCAGGCTCACAATCCCATTAGGCTCCATGGGAGGGTTGAAACTAAACAATATTGCAGCCAAATCTCCGTGGGTAGGCCTCGTTCTATGCGACACCAAAAATGAAGGCCTACTGAAATACTGGGCGTGCAACCATCCAGATACCTGCGGCGAAAACTGTCCGACTGAACCCGAGCGACCACAAGTGACTCAGTCTATTTGGCCGTGGGAACCCCAGTCCTTACCACCCAACAAAGACTGCAAAGATCTAGGAAGGCGAGTTTTAGCAATGTATGCCCCCGATCCACTTGGCTCGACCGGTGGTGTTCCAACAGTGTACACGGGCATAGCAGACAAACCGAGTCCAACGATGCCGCCAATGCAAAACAGCGATACAACGACGTCTTTGGCTTCCTCATCCATACGTCCCTCTGTTTCCGATACTACATCTCCCGCCATCGACGCCACATCACCCACAGCTGCCACCACTGCATCCATGGACTCCGAGACAAGAAGCTCAACCCTAGGCACCGGGGCTATTGCTGGCATTGCCGTCTCCTCCGCCTTTATCATAGGATCAGCTTTGTTCATCGCCTTCATGCTGCTACGACGCCGTCGCTCCCGACATGATCCAGTGCTCAACACCCATGAGACTGAGAATGAGACTTATGACCACGAACAGCCTGGTCCTGCAGAATTGCCCGACGAGAAACACAACCTCATAAATCCCCACACCCCGTCCACAGTCTCGGACTCAGGACAACGCCGGCCAGTCTCAGATATGACTCTGAGCATGATTTCTCTCAGTCCGCTCAGTACACCGAGAACTCCGGGCTCGCCGTATTACTGCCACGGCGTCGGTCAAGCACCGTCTGAGTTGGCGGATCAGCCGAGGGCTATACACGAGATGCCGGCAATCAATGAACGGGTCGAGATGCCTTGATAAATAGGATCGTGGTACCAATATACCCAAGTCGCGATAAGGGGGAAAGCTTTGATATCGCTTGCAGGCTTTAGGACTCGGATACATGCACATGTTTAGAGAAGACTTCACAATAACGGTCTGATATGGTTGTTCCTCTGCGCGCCCCTTTGCTCAATCACCTTTGGGCTATTGGCTCATCATTGGATACAAATGCTACGTTTCTGCCAATAAGTGCTCGACAAGCTCATCTCACGAGAAGGAGGCGCTGTGCATTACTGCGACGAAGACCACACCAAGGTGATGACGTTACACGGAATCCACCCTCCCCTGTATTCAAGGGGGGTATGATTTGGAGCAGGATTGAAAACCTCGATAACATTGACGTTCACTAATACCAAAGTACATTTTTCTTGAATACATGTTGCGTCAAACGCCATCTTATTAGGCGATTGACCGGTAGGTCCTTATACAGTCCTCGGCGTCCTTTCCATCGTTCTTACACTCGGGCTTGCAGAAATCATGCCAGTCGTAGCCATACTGTCCCCAACAAATGGGAGCACCCCAAAACTTGGCGGGATTCAGCATGCGACACTGCGGATAGACACAGATCAGCAGCCATTCCTGCCTCCCACGAGGGGTTTGGAGGGGATGGGAAGAGATTCATACCGTAAGCGCACCCGCCCACGGGCCGCTCTCACCCACCAGACTTATGGTGACTTGGTCTTTGGGGAGGGATTCGTTTTTCATCCAAATACAGGCCTCTTTGGATCGGATAGTGTGGAACGACCATGACTGGCAGATACAGTGGAAGAAGTCTGCGTTGACGGAGACGATCCAGGTGCTTGTAGAAAATAAGCATCGATATTCGTGAGCTATGTGGATGAGATTGAAGGCTTACTTGAGGAGAAGTAGAGAGAGAATCTGGAGCTTCATTGTTGCTTAGAGACGTCTGTATCAGTGAAAGCTCTGGTGTGCTCGTGGTCTAAGGTATTGAATGAGTTCCACTTAGTGACAGAATGAAGAATCAATTTGGGCAATGGGCAGGAGTCACATTTTTATACTAATGTCACGCTGGCCTTACTTGAAATGATAAACACCGTTGTGGCTGCAATCTCGCCATCACGGTTCCAGCCATCCATTTGACGAACCTAGGAGCATAGCACCAGCATGCCAGTCAACTCTCCTTCATGGACCACCTCTATGAACATATCTCGGTTCAACTACCAGGTGGGCACTACCGCCAGCACATTGCTCGACTACATTTCCGCACTCGTGACTCTCAAAACCCTCTTCTAGATTTCGTCGATTGAAAGGCACCCACGTACCTAAGGTACCCAGGCCCTTGACTCCTTAGACGGCTTCAAGGCCGGCCGTGCGGGTGTGGGGAAAGTGGTTCCGGCCCCGCAGTGCCGACCGCAATTAAGGCAAGCACGGCAAGGTAATCTGGAGAGTGGGCCATTGATTGGAACAGTGGCTGAAGGCTTTCACGAAGCTGCTCGAATCACGAGAGATCTGGGACTGCTTTCACCTAGTGAAAAGGGATTGATTTGCCATATATCAATCTATAACATGGGATACGCAGCTCTTGAACGTTTTCTGGGCATAGCAGTGTCGACATTTACTGACCTTGCCCCTCGTTACGCAATCTTGGTCATACATTGCCCACCTAGATCTAAGCACATACTCGCTCACGAAACTCAGCACGACCTTGAGTCTCATTTCACTATTTCAATATGCGACCGATCTCTGCAGTGCATTCCCACATCGTGGACATGTTACAGGACATACATTATATAGCTTCAGCTGCTTTCCTTGTCTTGAGCCCTGCCAGGGGCGTGCTAGAAAGAAGAAAGGCAGGCCAGAGGAAGTACACTCTTAGATCGCCTGTGAAGCCGTAGGTCGGGTGATCGGCCAGGTACCTTTCAGTGAAAGTTGGACTCTATGGCCTGGGTGGGCAGGTAGGTCTGCCCATATCTCCGCTAACCGTGCCTTTGCGGGGCAGTTTTTCAAGTCACGTTTATAGCAGTGGGCTATGCGGGAACAGTACCTTAGTCGCTGTGCACTTGCTGGGTACAGACTTTGGACAGAGAAGTCCTGCTCTGCGGCGATTTCAATCTCACTCACCCACGCTGGAGCGGTATCCGATGTGTAAGTCCCAATGCAAAGGCAAGACAGTTGTGCGACGGCGCCGAGGCGGCGGGAATGAGGTGCATGCTCAAGCCCGGAACCATCACGTACACTCGGGGGACCCGGCCGCTGTCCCCAATACACCCAGTTGCACAATCGACTTGGTTTTCGCAGGGAGAGCGCTCATTCCTCGAGTGATCAGCTGCGATGTGGTTTAGGTCCGAGGTTTCGAGTCCGACCACCACGTGCTACGAACGGTGATCAATTCGCAGCTACACCGAGAAGACGGCACCCGCAAGTTCTAAAAAGACGTCCCAAGCAGAAAGTTTCGTCAAGATGCTAGAGAGAGGCTCGGCGCTCTCGGCTTGCCGCCTCTCCATTCGCCCGCAGCCCTCGAGGAGTTTATCGACGCCGTCACGGAAGCTATGCAGGCGAGCATCACGAAATTCGTTGCGATCCTTACGCCGCCAAGTATCAACGGTCCTGTCCGCAAGTTCGAGGAAAGTATCCACGCCAGCCTCAAACTTGAAGAAGCAACTCGGCGCAACGGCAACCTACAAAACAACGACGACAAGCTCTACAGCAAATGGCAATTTCTTCAGCGACAAACGGACAAACTCGTCAAGCAAATCTCGAAAATGTCTTACCGCGATTTCATTGAATCCAGCACGAAGGTCATGGCAGGAACCTACGGCTTGGCTCGAGTGGGCGCGCGTTGGGACTTGGCACAACCACGAGCTCACATGCCTGACCTCAAGGACCCAGTGACCCACGAAGTCTGCAGCACCCCCCAAGACAAGGTCCGTTGTCTCACCAATTCGATCTGGCCCAAGACCAGCACCGGACCAACAGCACCGGCACAAAACTGTCCACCACTCGATCCCGCTCGAATGCAATATGCCTCTCCACAGCAACTCGAACGAGGAGAGATTTATGAGCTGATCTCCGGTATCCCTAGCGGCAAGGCCGAAGGATCGGACGGGATTGCTGGTGAGGCTCTCAAGATGCTGCATGTTTCAAGAGATGAGAAAGAAACCGAAAGTGAGAGGGAAAGCATCATCGCCCCGATTCTTGAACACATCATCAACGCCTGTTTTCTCTTATCGCATCATCCAGCGCAGTTCAAAAGATCTAGGACTGTCATAGTCGAAAAGGCGGACAAGCCAACGTACGGCACACCGAAGAGCTGGCGTCCACTCGCCTTGTTATCTTGCATGGGCAAGGTTGTAGAGAAGGCCATGTCGAATCGCTTGACGATACTGTCCCTTCAGCACAGCCTTGTCTCTTATAATCAGTTCGGATTCGCACGACGGTCTACGACAAAGGCGCTCGAGTTGATTCTGAATCGCGTCTACCGATGCTGGAACGCCAGCCCGCGCATGTTTGCAACGCTCATGACCATTGACATGACTGGCGCGTTCGATCATGTCGATCGCGAGGTTCTCCTGAAGATCTTGGTTCGGAAAGGTGTCCCTGACTGGATGGTTCTGTACATCTCTTCATTTCTCTCTGATCGACGCGTTGCCCTGTCTATTCCAGGATACACATCAGAGGAGTTCTGGGTCAACATTGGCATTCCCCAAGGCAGTCCTCTTTCGCCTGTTCTCTTCGCCTTATTCTCCTCTCTTATACTGGACGAACTCAATAAGATCTGGCCGTCGAGTCCATTCTTCCAAGCCATGTCGTACGTTGACGACACTTGCATGGTGGTCACCTCACACTCCTACGAGGAAAACTGCAAGATCTTGACAACGGCCTTTACCGACCTGATTGCCGCTACCGCGCCTTATGGTATTTCCTTTGGCCCTTCCAAGACACATATCATGCATTTTCAGAACCCGCACAGGGAGACTCAGTGGACCAACTCGAGAACTGCCAACGAACCTGAGCCACCTAGAATCATACCATTGGCAGATCTACCAGACGTTGGTGTGGAAGGGGCAAAGAAGGAGGAGGTGATCAAGCTTCTTGGGGTTTACTTGGACCAATCTTTGACATGGGCCACGCACGTAAAGAACGTGAGTACATCCTGACAAGCTCAATGCAGCTGAGCATGTCACTGACAATGTAGGAGACAGATTACCGAGAAGATGGAAGCCAAGATGCGCACCATCTATCGTATTTCTGGCTCGACATGGGGGCCCTCTCTCCCCAGCATCAGACGCCTGTACATCACAAGTGTCCGCCCGATCGCCGCATACGCCGCTCCCGTGTGGTTCCTTTATCGAGACAACGAACGGAGGGTTCGCTGGCAGATCAGCGCCAATTTGGTCATGAAGCTTGACAAGGCACAGGCGGCGTGTCTCCGACAGGTCGCCGGCGCTTACCAGACCACAGCGACCCCGGTCGTCCACCAGGAGCTTGATGTCCCGCCGCTTTCTCTGTTCCTTGAGAAGCTCGGCCAGAAACATCGCACTCGCAATCTTGACACCCGGGAATACGCTTGTCTCAACACCGTGTGGGCAACTGATAATATGCCGAAGACCCTTAGCGCAGCGAACAACACAGCACACCCATACCGCATCCTCTACGATGTCACAGCCGCTTCTATTAATTCCGCGGCTCGGAAGCAACTTATCGAAATCAACAAAGAGCGAACTGGGAAAGAAGACCGGTATGGTGATCCGCTAGTCAAGTTAAACTGGCGGTCCTTTCTTGACCGACAGCAAGTGCGGAGCAAAGTCATCAACGACAAGCTCCAGGAGGCATGCACGCGGTACTGGCAGAATTACATTGACGATCGCGAAGACCGAAGGAAGGATCAGACCAACCCAAGCTTCCGCATCGCCAACCACCGTCCTTTTCCCTCTCGGAAGAATGGGGCCCAGCCAGCTTGAAATACTATGCCAAGCTCACGCGTGCCGAGAGCACCATGCTGTTCCACTGTAGAACTGGTGTCGTGGGACTCAAGTCCTACCTCTTCTCCATCCATGTTCGTTGCATTCCCTTCTCCTTTGCTGGTCTCTACCCTCGACTGACCCTTGTGTCTCCGCCAGGTTCGCGACATCGTCGACAACCTCTGCCCGTGCAAGCAGGGAAAACACACCGTTGAGCATGTCTTTATCCCTTGTCCTGACTTGTTAGCTGAGCGGACACGGCTCTATGACCAAGTCGGTCACCATGATTTGGAGAAGTTGCTCACGTGTGATTCCAAGGCCGCTGCCGCGTGGGCCATCCGCTACCTATCCATTGAACAATTTGGCTGGACTGGGAGACAAACACCCGACAAGATCTTCCAAAAGGGAGATGGAGCGTGATGGGGTGCCTAGTGCCTCTGCATCGGAGACTGGGACGGGGGAGACCGGGGAGGACAGCCTTTGGCGGAACTGCAGGTCATTGCTGGTATGCTTGGTACTTGGGCACTACAATGCATTCGTCCATCCATCGTGATGGGTGCCAGCTAGCCTAGGTAGATAGTGATAAAATACATACATTATCACCTACCCTTTGGGGTCCAGCCCGCCTCATTGGGGGCCATCTTCGCCTTCACGGGCAAGTTGGTCTATCAGGGTGAATATCGTGTATTACTGCGTAACAAACTTCAAAACTAACTACAGCCGGCCGCAGCCGTCATCGAGTAAGTCATTGCATCGCCACTAGGAAACGCCTGTTTCCGTTGCTTACTTGGGACTGGACTGACGCGACAAGCCACGCTGACACAGCTCAAACCATCACTGTATGCCACCAAACCATTCCACTCATTACCTGCCGCAGCAAGAAGCTGACCAGTCTCTAGAACGACGTAACACATTAATTGCCTTCCGAACAGCCGAAAACCACCCCCTATTTTCTGCCCTATTTAACAACTCCAGAATATCCCTTTTAGTCTTTCCCAGTTTACTCCTACGCTGCGATTTCAGGGTATTGATAATACTCTGGAGTCGATCAGGCATTTCGAGACCATGTTGCATAAGTTGGGCGCCAATGATGGCGATACGTACGTACATTTTCACTGAGAAGGTTATCGAATGTTGACTCATATCTGTTCCGCACCAGCCATGTCGACATGCCTGTTTCGGATCTTCAAGTCGACAGTGTCCAATCCGTATTCCTTAAGACGATCTTGCCACAGTTCGGGGTCCTCCAGTACGATGCTTGTGGGATCGAACTTCTGGGTACGTGTTCTGGTGAAGTGAAAACGGGCTTGCATCCTCTAACTATTCTCAGTAGCCATTGAGGAAGCCCCAGGGGTCGACAATGTCTGGGCGTCTCGACATTTCGACAGTGTGTGTTTGAGGTAGGAATATAATTGACGCGCTGTGTCCTCGTGTTTTCTGCTTTCAGTCAAGGACCAGGTGCACGGCCTCAAGGTTAACTAGCGGGGGATGCATCGCATGCTATGCGAGGCAGTGCACTATGTTCTGATGCAAATAGGCAGGATGATTTGAACACTTGATCGTGAGCTGATCATCTTAGAGCAGGTAGACGATTCGACAGCGACAACGACAGACGGCGAGGGAAGGTGTGTTACACACATACATGAGCGCGTGCCATGGCAAGTTGGTTACTGACTTAGTCCAGCAGCGTTTTTCGACTTCGACAAAGGAAAAGAGGTAACGAATGTGTGTGTGTGTGCGAGTTGAAGTTGAAGGTGTGTAAGTATGTCGTCAAAGCCATCCAGACCCCCTTTGAACATTACTTGTGCTGTCCTCATCAGGCCAGACATCAGTGGTGAGGTTGGGACTGCGACCCGGCAGCTTTGATGATAGCCCGTAGCTAACACCGCCATGGCTTGCAGAGGGCGGCGTCATCTTGACGACGGCGACGAGGGCATCACCGATGCCACCATTGTGAGCTGCTGTCACCTGGAGTACGTTTATTCCTACCAGAAAGTTCTATTCTACATGTAGGTAGAGAAAGCTAACATCTTCTCATAGGGGGCCGCAAACTCAGCCAAGTGGGCGGTATGTCAACATCTGGATGCGTGGAGTCACAGCAGCAGAAACCGCTAACAGACAACAAGCAGGCTCACAAGGTGGTGGCGTCGCGCGCCCCAACATCGCCGTCGATTGATGTAAGTGCCCTGTACATTCATCTCAATTCATATTGAGTCCTGGAATTGGATCTCTGATACTCGTTCATGGATCAAATGCTAATGTCCACTCCACATCCAGCCGTGGTTGAAGGAGGGAAAGTTCAAAAGGTGGAAAATCAGAAAAAACTAGTCTATCGAGACAGTGGGAGTATCCACTGATACTGTGTATTAATACTGTATAAACGATATCGAGAATCGCCCGAGCAGCACGCAAAGGCGGAACATTAAAACAAATAAAATTGGGCGATACTCCGTCCTTAAAAAAAAGATGCTGTTTCAGTCGTCTCTGATTCGTGATGTACTATAACTACGCCGCTTTTCCAGGCCTCTTTGACATATGAAATGGTGAGTCTGCTTTTCCTTTCCATACCGTCCCTACATCCGTCCTTTATCATCAGCCACCTTTGCTGTGCCACCTCGTGGGTCTGGAAACCCCTTGGTCCGCGCTAGTTAGTTCAGTTCAGCCACATCACGTACCGGAGAAAGCTGCAGATGCGGACACCTTGATCAACCTGCTCACTCAGTCCTATATCTACTTAGCCTGCCTGCACATCAAAGACGTCTATCAAGACCGAATTGCCTTCAACCTCTTTCCTTCTCAATTCCGCACAGTCACTCTCAGTCACTCACTCACTCGCACACACTCGCTCGATCACACGATGGCTTCATTTGCCAATTCACGTGTTTGCGACGCGCAAGGCGGCTTGACTTTCTTCAAATTTCCGAATGAGTTGCGCAACCTGATTTACAAACACTATCTTCAGCTCGACGAAGGCTACAAGCTGAACCCGCACACCAACAAGCTGCGAACTAGCAACGACGAACCTATCGCTCTCGACTTGATGTACACCTGCAAGCGCGCTGCCTTGGAGATGCAAGGGTTTCCCCTCCAGCATAACACCATCACTTTCTCTGCATTTCACCCCCGATCAAGGACTGATGGCATCAATGTTGGACGATTCTGTCATATGATGGATATGATGAACGAGGAACTAGTGGCTCAATTTCAGCAACTTCCCCCAAGATACTTCCACAGCCAGGTGGTGAAGGAAGTCGCAGCCGCTTATCCGGCCTTTATTCCCGTTCTAGACGTGATGAAGACGGACCATGGTGATCTCGGAAATTTTCGAATTTCTTACGGTGAAACTCCATCGTCCTGTCGCGACTTCATTCGATTTACGCTCAACACAATCTCATCTCACAAATCACTGTTCAGCGACTACGATATAATCATCAACGAAGTGCACTATAACGACGAATATTATGGCGACGAAAGCCCAATCGAACAGCCAACTGTTCCACCAGACCGACTCTTCGAGTTTGCCCCTGACCCATGGGCAATTCCATCTCAGAATGATCTCGATCATTTCAGTTACCTCCTTGATCCCGAGACTTGTAGACTCTCTTGTGTCTCGGACGACTTATACCAGGATGAGGAGACTTCCGTCGATCCGCAGCGGTTCCGCTACTCAGCTGTTGCAGCTGCCGTTAGGTTTCTGGATTCGATCTCCCCGATACTTCGCGGCTGGATTCGCAACATCAGCCTCATGGAAGATCAAATGTCTGTCTGCAATCCTCAATGCCACGGATTGGGGATGATTCGGTTCTGCCAAGAAAACCCGAATCTACGCATTGAACGTCACGTCAAATTATGGGATACTGTATTTCAGAAGAACCTCCTCCACTTGAAACCTGAGGAGGCGAGACAACCTCCCCGAAAAGTGCTGACGGATGAAATCTCTTACCTCATAGCTGTCTGGGTGGTGGAAGCCTTGGCGCTGCCGTCATCTGGCATGCCTCCAGATGCCTTCAAACTCAGATTTGATGGAGATTCTGAGGGAGATCGAAGCTGTGAACAAATCTTTCAGGACGTCCTGCTGCGTGACGCTGCTTGGCGGGCAGGAATGGATGAGTGCTTCAAACGAGGCTTTCTTCCACAGCTATCTTGGCGGGAGAAGAGACAGACCCCTTGGGGTGGAATCATGGATGCCGTAGGACATACCCCTGACCCAGACTATGCTCGTCAACACAGTCCTGAAAATCGATGTTATATCTTCGAGAGCTTTCCACAGACGATAGAAAACCTTGCCAAAGGTAGCTCTCTCGTGGCTTGCAGTTTTCATCCAGGTACTGTCTGGGATATTGAGACCCTGATTAAGAAGCGGCGGTCATGGTCTCTGACCAAATGGAGATATAGTTGGTATCGGGGCAAGCAGTGTTATGTGAGAGGTCGTCTCGAACCTGAAAACTCCTTCCCGTAGAGGCGCGTCTGCTCTGATGGGCGGTCACAATCACAAACGAATTAACAACGTCGAAAGTCTCACACGAAGTTGGATCCGGAAGTTCAAGCATAGAGGCAATCGAAAGAAGAAGATGGTTGTGACGACTTGATTAGGTAAATATGAGAAGTGTTCCCACACACGTGGGGTCTAAGAGCAGTTGAGAAGTAGACTTCTAGGTCTGATTAGAGATCAGGCCTCGTTCAATCAAATACGCATAGACTTGTGGTTATTCCTCTAGAGATTCTCCCAGAAGATCCACATCGATCGCATCAAGTTTGGCACCTTGGTCAATGAGCATTCGAACCGTACCAGCGCTCCCGTGAACCAAAGCGATCGACAAAGGTCCCTGCCCTCCATCGTTCAAGGCAGACACGTCACTTCCGTGTTGTAAAAGGGCCCGAATCGTTTCTTCAAACTGTTCTCCGTAGGCTGCAACATGCAAGGGCGTTTGCATCATCCTGTCTAGCCCCTCCACATCCCCACCGAGCCGAACAAGTTCATCCACAATAAACTTTCCTGCTCCCAAATGGGCGGCGAGATGAAGCGCCGAGTATCCTTTCGGGTAGACATTCCAGCGCTCTTCAACAGCCTCAAGCTCGTCGTAGCTTGATTCCTCGTTAAACGCCCAGGCTTCGGCTGCTTGCAAATAGGAATCGATTGAAGCGGCTTTGGAAGAGAATTGTAAGAAAGCCACAGAAATGCTTTCCACGTCAACATCAGCCATCCATAGGCTCAAGTTTCGTGCGGCAAACGATAGCAGTGGGTGGTCTTTGAAGCGGCGTTTGAGTGCTGTAGATGATCCGCAAGCGCCGGCTTTGAACTCTTGTTTCGACAAATATCGCAGGAGTATATTGACAATCGTGTCCGTTGGGCAGTGTGTCGCACGTCTTTCATCGAGATGCTCTGCTAGAAGAGGAGACTTGATGTCCCAGACTTGTGTTGGCTCATTGACAAAGACAAAGTCTGAGCAGATACTGGCAAGATCCGCCGTCGTTGCTGCCAAGGCACCTGCAAGTGACTGGTCGCTCATACGCAATGGATTCAAGATAGCCTCGCCATTCAGATGGTGTCTAGTCTTCTTGGCCGCAATTAGAAGATAGAGAATCGTCATGATCAGGTCCCCGTGTGCAGACTGAGTGATGCTGGCCGCGGCGAGCTCGCAAAACGTGGCGGCCCTCTGCAAAGCATTCGCCTGGGAGAGTTCCTGCGAAACGGTCTCCGAAACGCCGAAACCCGTTGGAAATGCTGAATGGTATAAGTTTTGAGTGTATATGGGCATGAAACTTGATAGCGTTGATCATCAGCGAATGCCAGAAAGGTTGTGGTCATGAATTTGTGCGTGCACTTACCGGTGGTCGAATAGCCCGGCCCATCGCGTCAAATCTTGTGCCAGCGCAGATTCGGATAGCACTCCAGCCTGTACGTCGAGGTTGCTTTGAAAGGGCTGCTGGAGGTATTGAATCAGATCCTCCTGACTTGCCCGTACCTCTAGGCTCGCTCCTCCAAACCGTCGAAGGACCTCCTCAAAGGGCTTTGAGCGGCTCAATAGAACAACATGGGCGGACGATTCTTTGTCCGAGAGGCGAAGCTTGGCCACAAAGTCGTGAAACGCTGCCGGATTTGGATCGTCCAGACCGTCCAAGACGATGTAAATCTTTTCAAAATATGATTCGAGTTCGGCCCAGATTACCTGAAAGTTATCTAACCACCACGTCCACACGGTGACTGGTGCAGAGATGAGCCGTTTGAGGGTCTCGGACGACTCGGGTAGTTGGGAAACAATCTGCCTAGCAATGGAACAGATTGCAGCCCCAAAGTCTGCCAATGAGTAATAAAGTCCTGTGTTTTCAAATTGTACACAAGCCACGGCGGACTTTATGCTGGAATCGAGCTGGGTTGCTGAAAGGTGTTCGACTAAGAGGGAACTGTGAAAAATGAACCCTCAGGGCCTTTTGAGGCAAGAATCTAAGCGCCATACCTTATGCAACTCTTTCCTGTCGATGCTGGAGCGCAATTAGCGACGGAAGAGCAGCGCAGAATGCGCAAATTCATCAACTTAATGAAATGGAGCTGTGCGTACCATCACCATGAACCCAGAGAAACTGCGTGCTCTGAGACTTGGCCCAATGCTGTACTTGGGTGTTCCGTAAAAACCATCCACCAATGGTCCTTACACGTCGACAAGCTGTTTCCTGCAACTTCCTTGACGAGCGATCACCTGGGCTGAGTCTCTCCAGGAGGAGGCGTCTTTGGCGGGTGATATCCATTCTGGGTGGCCCCAGGAGACAATTCCAATACTGTATCGTAACGATGCCAGACATGGGCACCAGTATGAGTTTTTGTAGTTTGACTATTTAAAGATAGAATGAACCAGGCCTGCATGCGGAAATATCAATTACCGGTCATCCATCTGCGCAATACGTGAATATGTACATGCTCTAGGTAAGGATACGATATACGCTAAGATGTTGCTGCCTACCCTAAGCTACGCAAATCGGCATGCACTACTAGCCTGGACGCGGGCCAATTCAGAATTGTGAGATTTCCGCCTAGTGGTTTTCATTGTCCGCGTCACATCGACGTTCATCTGACATAGCCTTCCAGAATTGGCTTCTCATAAATCAACCTTTCTGGTCATTTGTTGTATGACTGGCAACCATTCCACCGAATAACTACGTTGTAGACGGTTACGGATATCCATCACAAGAGATAACGGTCAAAGTCGAATGCCGATTCGGCTTGGCCTGCGGCGAGACCAGCCGCCTTGAGCGCGTTCCAATTCACATCATTGATTCCCACTTCATAGTCCCACCCGTGATGGGGGTCAGGGTTAGGCAAGATCTGCCAGTAGAACCAAGGAATCCCGGCAGCGTCGATGCTCTCAGCCCAAGTACGAATGTTGGAATCTCTGGTTCCTGTACCAATGGGACTGCCGCCGTTGCAGTTGTGGTTCGGGGCATTCGTGTAACAAGCGCCCCATTCTTGCATGATGAGCTTCTTCCCGGCATTCTTGGCTTTGGTGACGTAGGGTTGAAGCTTTGACGTAGTGAAATCGTCAACTCCATAGGCGTGGATGGCAAGGACGTCCAGAGCGCTGCAGCTGAAGTAAGGGTCTAGCAGAGAGTTGTCGACATAAGCACCACCTCCGGTAGTGACCAGAATATCGGTACTCCCGTTGAGGCCTTGCTTAATTGCCTGCGCCATCGTGCACTGCCATGACGCTAGGGCTGATGGGTTCCCCTAAAGGCGTCGTCAGTCTAGTCATATCGCCCGTCGGCGGAATTTTGTCTTACCTGTGGATGCATAGCTTCGTTTTGCGCCTCAAAGGCAAAGATGTACTCGGAGCTTTGGGCCCAGGTCTTGCCATTCTTCGGGTTCACATGTCCAAGAACATGCGCAATGCGCGTCTTGAAGGACCCCATCGCTTCGTTGTTAGTGTAGAAGTCGCCAGTGCCGTACCATTTGCCGTAAAAGTCAGAGTTTGCTTCGAGAGCGTTGTAGCTGTGGATGGAAACGAGCAGTTTGATGCCGTAGTCGTGGGCGTGAACCATGAAGTTGTCGAGGCGGTTGAGCACAGTGTCGTCCCACGCATCGGGACCGTCACCCTGGAGGCTGTTGAAGTTGTCCAAAGTTGTGCCCTTTTCGCTTCCCGATTGGCCTGTGACAAAGAATGAGTCAGTATGGACATCTTTCTAGTTAGGCTAGGGTTTTCTTACCGTCAAGCCATACTCGTAGGACTTTGACGCCAGCGCTCTGAAGGCCTTGGAAAAGTGTGGTCTGTTGCTGGGTGTTTAGGCCAGCAGCATAGTAAAGATTCGAGGCGGAGAATGACTTGGCTGCAAAGCAAGTGGCGGAGAGGGACAAATGGAACAAAGCCGGTATGACTGTGGAAAGCTTCATTTCAAGTTTCGGACCCAGTTGAAAAGGTTGAGCTAAAACTTAGGGTTGAGTTGTTAGCTTGAGATGGAAGAAAGTTTTGACCTCGACGCCTTTTAAAGTTCCAGGTATGTCGGCCATGAGTTCGCCAAGGAGCAGGAGGTGGATGCGGTTGATAGGAGTTCGCGCTTAGTTCATCATTTGTTCGAGCTACTACCTCGGTTTCATTGTCTACTGAGTCCGGAGTCCAGTCAGCTCGCGTGACACGGGCGTATATCGGAAGTATCAAGGCCCGCTTGTCTTTGACATCTGGATACACCATGTCTCGTTCAATGAGGGGCTCACTGCAGGCTTCTACTAAGGGGCTAGGATCTGCGCAGTACCAGCTGGATAGGCAACCATGTAAACACCTTCCCAACTCTTCCTGCGGTATTGTATACTTCCGAACATGATGCGCTAGCCACAACTTCTGGGCTTTGTTAGAAATTATAGAGAGTTACATGCCGTACGGGACGCATCTACAGCTGGTTCGTCGCTTATCCTAGCGAGGGTTTGCAACTCGTATAGGGTTGTCTATTTGATGCAACCATCTATTCTCATTACGTCTTTCATCGCTTAGCTGTGTTTTGTCTGTATGCCTTGTTGGGGCTCCCTGTTCAGCAATTTTACCAATGTACTTGGGCTGCAGCGATCTTGGACCACTTCTTCGGTGAGTCGGGGTTCTTGTACAGCCGAAGTGCTTCAAGCTTAATGTGTCAGGGCAATCTACAATGAATTGTATGTCTCTTTTTTTGAGTAAGGCTCGTCAGGCAGTAGGGTTGGCTGTGAGAAATACCTTATCTCTCCATCACTTCACCTATGTTAACTGCTTCGGAACTGGTAGGCCTTAATATCGTCCGTCCCTCTGTCTTCAAATGGCATCCATGCCTAGACAGACTGTTGCCGGAGAGACCTTGGGTCTGGTGACCTCTAGGGGTGGCTAGCCACAGAGATAGCCACATCTGAATCTGTGTAACGACTACTCAAGCAGAGAATGAAGCAAAAGAGATTCCGACAGATTTAACGATGTAAGTAAACGATGAATTCAATGTAGATCAGTGATTGAATTGTTTTGAAAGAGAGGGTTGCAATGGTTTAGTCTAAAACATGCATTCGTCTTGCACATCTTTAGTCCGCAACTGGGTTCTTTCCGCCAGTTTACCTTGAGCATCCCCGTTATATTGGTGTCTCTCCCAAGCTGGTATCTCCATACTAAATAAGTCACTTCCTACTAAGATAATTTGAAGTCTGATGTAGCTTTTAGATCATTATTCAAACTGAGGAAGGCGGCAAAGTTGGATTTTTGACGAAGGCCCATTTGGGAAACCTCACCCTGAACCGTTCTGCTGTAACTTCAACGGCCCAACTTTTACATAGATCAAGGCCGCACTATGCACGATGAACGGACCTGATATATACCTTCACACTCTACTCATAAATCACCGCCTCATGAGGTTTGAAAGCAGTGATTTCGGTGCCCTTCGGCATCCTTGACCGCTAGGTGTGCACCCGTCACGCAGCTGATTATGACCAAATCGACAGTAATTCGGCTGCGTACAGGTCCTCACCGCCGGAAAGAATTCGGGATACACAGGCTATATGTCAGAACGACAAACACTGGACCCCGCCTTTCCTTGCTGTATCGGTTGTGCATGTGTAACCAAGAGCAATGAGGTTGATACATTGAGACCGATGAAGATTTCTCCGATATAACCCAAATCTAAATCCCTTCTTTCGTAGCGTTCCTAATTATTCATGTGATTATGCGAATCTCACACACCTGGTTGTGCCCCTGATTCGAAATGTTCCGCCCGTGGCCTACTCAGCCCCAACCAGATTACAACTGGATTCGATTCAATCATGCAACTGGCACCAGACCTGGTGTCAACTTCAACAACTTCGGGCCCTACCCGCGCGGCCCTGCCACTCCAGCCTTTGCGAATCCAGGACCCCGTCTCTTCGACTTTTCGCAACTCTTCAACATCACCAATAACAACTACGGTCCTCCACCCCTGCGTCCCAACCAGCCAGGCCGGATCCGCAACCGAGTCACAGTCCTCCTCCCCGATGGCACGCGGGTTCTGCTCGAGCGCGACCTACTCCACGAACACCTCCCCCGAACTCGAAACTTCATGCAGCAGGGTCTCTTCCCCGTCCCTGAGTTTCTCCGAGGCTACGATGATGGCTTCATGGGAACCCTGATGGATCCCCAAAATTTCGATCAAGCCTTCGCCCGTGGTGCGACGTTCATTTTCAGACATCTCGAGGGCCTGAGCCAGGCATTCGCGCCGCCGTACGGGGCCGCGAGCGCGGGTATGGGCGTGGACACTGGCAGTCGTGGTGGTGCCGCCTTTGACCTGTTCGCCCGGCCGCGCTACCTCCTCGCAAACGCCCGCGATCGATTCATGACGGTACGGGAGATATTCTGGCACCTCTTCATACTGTGCTGTGTGCTAGACCAGGATCGCGCCTTTGGCTGCTCCGATTTGCTGGCGAGACCTATTGCAGAGTTCCTCCTCGACTTTTTGCCGTGCGTGGAGGCATTTCTGCCTCCGACGGCGATGCAGATTCTGTTTGTGGGATACGCTCGCATTTTTCGCGAATCGATATTCGAGATGGAGTTGTTGAGGCAGTTGTGGGAGTCGATGGATGTCATGGGCCAGACACACATTAGGGGAATGATGGGACCGCAGTTGGCGGCGAATGGGATGGGAAATAATGTGCACAGAGTTTGGACTGCTCTCAGACATCTGGGTCTGGTCTGAATTTCACTTCCGATGTTCTTTCTTTGTCAGATAACTTGCTTCTCTTCGCTCTTTCCATAGTTTCTTGACCAACTCTGGTGGATGACCATCTCATCTCGATTCATTTGCCTTCTGATCTTGTACCAGCCCAAGAAGCTGCTTTTCCTCCTGTTCTGAATAACAATCCCACAAAATAAGCATGCTAAGCGATTTCGGTTCCAATACCCAAGCTACTCCCTATTAAGTTATCCAAGAAAGTGAAATCCAAGTTATCCAGCGCCCAACTTTCCTCAGATGGGCACTGTACCAGATCCTGCAGTTCCTTGTCTCCAGGAAGTGGAACCACGGTGTCTTGTCTTTCGCTTGAGCATGAGCCCTCAGCTCGAGAACAACGATCGTCGAGAGGTTGCAAATTCGATCCGATTGGTATTGATCTCCCATCCTGTCGTTTCTCAATCCTGATGACCCAAAAATGCGGAAGACAGATGTTCAGGACAGTATCTTGATCCGTCAGCTTCACCCGGTACCCGAGATCGTCATCCAAGAATGTTTCTGACGAAAATGCGACCTTGTATCTCACTCCCAATACCATGTCGTCCTGGATGCGCAATAGATGTCTGAGGAGTGTAGCCACTCTCGTTGCAATCTCATCGTTGTACTGGTCCACAAGTTTCTGCATCATGACCAGAGCCTGCTCCACCATGCCCCGATCGCTGAGACGTTGATGTGCCGAGAAGTAAAAACTCCTCTTGTCAGTTGTATCTTGAGGGGCGTCGCAAATGTGCGCTAGAGACAATGCGGTACATGATAGAAATGCTATCAGATCAACACCTCGGCAATAGAATCGCGCTGGTCTAGTCGCGCGAAAGGACAAGAATCTGGAAAGGATCTCCCGACTTGCCGTCACGGCTGTCGCTTTGTCGTGCTCCGATATTGGGCGCAGAATGTTGGGGAAGTGGAGCTGAAGAAGGAGATGATAGTACATGAAGTGATCGTTGAACCGTAACGTTTCCCGAATCTTTTCTAGATGGCCCTTCTCCGAGGCGAGGTTCGGAGCAACCCACCACTGCGCTGGCATCACGGTTGAGGCTTCTTGTAGTAATTTGTCAATATTCTGAGCCTTTCCGTGATCATATACTTCCGACGGGTCGCGTTGTAACAAGCGTCCGCAAGCGACAGTGCAGAGGCGAAGAAACCGATCTAGTGGAAGACATTCTTCTAGGGTATCTGGGCGAGCGTAGACGTCCTCAAATGCGCTTTGTGGCAAGCCCAACATGAGGGAGAGGTAGCGATCGAATTGTACGAGGCGGAACCAGAAATCATTCGGTTCGATGATTGAGCCGACGAGGGAGCGTGGCTTGATGCCCCGACTGAGGCCGAGCATCTGCGCAATTGCGACTCCCCGGCGTGCGGCGAGCCACGAAACACGCAAATTGCCGGCGTAGTTCTCGTAGAGGCCCTCCAGCATGATGCATTCAAGGCCTTCCAGAGAATCAACTAGCTCGTCCTTGCATGTGACCAAGTCGTGGGCCGTCTTTACCGCTCGGGACATCATGCTGTGCCAGCTGGTGCTGAGCTTCTCTAGGTGGTGAGCCGCGGAGAATGGCATACCCTGGAGGAACGAGGCTAAGATCAGTAGACTTCTCGCGATGAGTACCGGATGTGACCCGGTGGGCGGTAGTTGTAGTAAAGCCGCGGAGACCGGAAGACGGAATGGGTTTGGGCTTGTTCTAGTGCATATGACCGCTCGAATGATTTGCGAAGTTTCCAAGGGGATTGCCAAGATGATGGCCATGTCTTCTGGACTTGGCCATGCAGCGAGTAGTTGCTTGGAGATGGTATCGTCTGCGTTTGTGTACGATGCAGCGAGAGTTGGAGGTGTGAGTCGCTCGACTGTGGAGCGCATAGGCGAGGTGCTCCTTCGAGAGTGTGGCTCCTGGACGATCAGCTTCAGTTTTGTGCGATTTGCATCTCCCAGCACATACCACCGTTGTTGCAGCTGGAGCGTCATGATTTGGAGGATCCGAGTGATTGGGTTGAGAGATTGCGGGTGAGAGAGCGACGGGCGAAGCCGATCGCGTAGGCGCTGTTCTCTCATCCCAGATCCGGCCCTGAGATCCAGCTGAAGAGACGGGTCGATTTTGAATGCCATGCTCGCTCTGGGTCCCTGATTTTATCAATTGTCTCACCAGCGCCTCGACTTGGCCAAGTCTGTCCACGATATGCTTGTTGCTGCCAGGAGGAGGAGGCGCATCAGCGACATCTTGACTGACACAATCACTCCCGCGGCGCTTACAGCCATCACAAATGTTCTGTGTAGAGGGCGAAAATGTACAACGGGCTTTGCGTCGCTTGCATTCCCAACAGCTCTGTGTTCCCTTGCGCAGCTTCCGCCGTTTCGGCGCCGGAGCGGAGTCAGCAACTGGAGGCTCCTCGGCCGGGATTCTTTCGGTTGCCGCTATCATGATGCTTGATTCGACACACTCAGCATATATCCTGGGGTCATTGGTGGTCAAGTGTGACTCGTCAGGAAGTCTCACAAGCGTATCTTTGTTCGACCGCCGCTTTGGCGGAAGAGTATAGCGGCGATCAGCTGACAAGGAGGGAACATTGTCCATTAGTAATCCCCCGCCATTCTCCGCCGCCGCTCCGGTGAATCGGGATGAGAGTGGGGCTAGTGGACTATCGGAGGCTGGAGCGACGATTTGGTGCCTAGCGCTCTTACACATCCCAGTCCTCAGAGGTGTTGAGCCCAGGCAGGAGAACCGCATGAGCGGCGGAGCCCAGGAAGACAGATGGTACTGATGTATGAAATCGTATGGGACGACATGTAATGAGTAATGTATATATACTCCGTGCCGTGCGCCCCGTGTTCTAATCTATCTTCAGTCTCGCAAAGATCTAATAAGAGTAAAATTGATTTTCCAAAGAAGAACAACGATCAAGAGTCATAACTTGAGAAAATAAACCCAAAGGAGTAGCCCAACGCACCACAATGGTCCGAATTGCGATTGCTGGCGGCTCTGGCAGTAAGTTCCCACAAGTCCCCAGTTTATCTAGCCGACGACTAATGAAGGACCTCGTTAGATGTCGGGCGAGAGATCCTTGATGCTTTGGTAGCTAGAGGCAAGCACGAAATCTTGATCCTGTCCAGAAAGGTTACTTCAATCCTGTCCCCCACGCCATTTCTTTCCAATAATTAGCTGACTTTTGCAGGATGACCCTGCCAACGATTTTGGCTCAGGAGTTAAATGGGTCAAGACAAGCTACAACGATGTTGCCCAGTTGGCTCAAGTGCTAGAAGGAGTTCACACTGTTCTCTCTTTTGTCGCTGGACCTGTCGATCCAACGAACGTCGCACAGAGAGATACACAGAAGAATTTGATCGATGCATCGATCAAAGCTGGCGTTAGACGATTTGCCCCTAGCGAGTGGGCTTCGTGAGTCTTTCCCACTATGTATCATGCATCTACTTTGCGTCTAATTGGTCTAGTTCCAAACTCGAGCACATGTTCTGGTACGGCTTCAAGGAAGAGACTCGAAAGTACCTCGCACGCATCAACAAAGACAAGAAGGTTTTCGCGTTTTTGACTTAACCGTTCCAATCCATGCATGGTTCACGTGGTTGACTAAAGTTCGATATATCAGGTCCTCGAATACTGTCTGTTTCAACCGGGATTGTTCACCAATTACATGACGTATCCGTTCAACTCCTCCAAGCATGTTCAGCTCTTTGAGACACCCTTCAACTTCTATCAACGTCGCGCTCTAGTCATCGATGGAGGTGAAGAAGCCATTATTACCTTCACGACTGCGCAGGATCTAGCTAGAGTAGTCGCTTTAGCTGTGGAGTATGAAGGTGAGTGGCCTCTCATCGGTGGGGTTCAAGGCGCCCAGGTGTCAGTCCGGCAGCTCATTGCGCTAGGCGAGAAGATCCGTGGTACGTAACTGAACTTGCGATCTATTTTACTCGCAAAAATTTGGTTTCTTCTGTGGAAAACTCACTAATATGCGAACAAAGGCGGGCCGTTTGACGTGACCAAGCTCAAGTCCGACGACCTCAAGGCAGGGGTAGTCAATGCCCCTTGGCTCCCTAAGGTTGAGCACCCATCGATTCCCCCCGAGACCTTGGGTGCCGTCGCTTCTAGCCTGCTTTCTGGCTTCTTGCAGGGTATTGTGGCTGGTAATCTGGAGTGCTCTGACGAGTGGAACCGTCTCCTACCCGGATACGAGTTCACTCAGCCAGAAGACTTTCTCCCCACCGCATGGGCGGAGATTAATGCGGGAGCCACGACCGTTTTCACGTCATACTAGGGGATTTGGGATATCCAGAGAGCCATTGTCTTTAGCCAGTACTACATGTACTCACGACCTTGTGGCAAAGGCACAGCATTTGGGTCTTTGCTGATAGCCCTTCAAGGCTCTAGAAATATCTAATGACTATGGCATGGCAAATTGGAAGGCTGAAGATTGCTTTCGATAGAACATGCAATGCAGACAAACTTAAGGACCACGCTGAAGACATAACTACGAGACAAAGGGCTCACAAGAAACTACGGGAGAATTCCCAGTTGAAGAAGAATTAATTTATTCATTACTAAAGTGCGGAATGGACCTTTGGAACCACTTCGCGAGATTTGACTGGGCCAGTCGGATTGCGGTAGTACACAAAGACTATTAAGGTAGAACCTGTCATGGTGTAGGTGAAAGGATCTTTAGTCCTCAAATCTTTGATGGGTTCCATTTTCAAAGCCTCAGGGCAGGAGCGCAGTCGGGGCAGCTATTCCTGGAAATCCCGTGACGGCAGGTCTTTGACCTCATTGGTATGCACATTCTAGATGGTATTGGGGTGTAGATGTGGCTGGCCTTTGGCGTTTTGAGAAGCTCGATTAGGTTGCTTCAATAAGTCTAAAGGGTTGGGTAGAGAAAAGCTTCTTGAGAGATATTTGTTTGAGTGTGATGATGAAGAGTAAGTATTTCCATGTCTTCTCTTCGATAAATGAGGTGGATTTATATATTTCCCTAACGCTCATGGTTTTGAAGTGAATGTGGTCGATGCAATAACGCCTGCGGTTCACTGACCAGCTGTATGCGCACCGCCAGCTAAGGTACGTATGCTGGTTAGGGCAATCAGTTAAGACTGTGATTCACCTTCACGAGTCGTTCTATCTGCCCTTACGAGGAAGGTATTTTGCTGGTGTTCAAATTCCCATTTCTAGGGAGTCAGAACTGGAGGCATCTAGACGACATAGCCGGGGACTGGGAAAAGAAGGAATTGCAACAGATCCACGGAGACGGGCTAGTTACCGCTCGCAATCAAGGGCAAGGCCATAACACAGTCTTTAGCGCCCCGGGAGAAAATCCAACAGAAATCCTGTTGCGCAGACACTGACTCACTATCTTATACATATAGATGTTGTTTTGGAACATGAAACGAACTGTCGCTTTCATTCCGGCTATGCACCCCCCGCAACACAAGGAAGCCCTATGTAACTACTACGTGAACGTCTAAATCAAAGAAGTATGCAAAACCCTCGTCGGGTAGTGATAAGACTGACTGATCATAAGGCCACGCGAGTCTTGAGAAAACCACCGAAGCTGTCAAAGAGTGCCTGATCATGCCCCTCCCTCCACCGGCACCTCAAGACAATCCCCTCTCGCCCGACATCCATCGCAATCTCAAATCCGAACTTGCATACTTCAGGGTTTGCTGACCCCTCAACGACAGTCTTGCCCTCTCGTTCCTCCCGCATCTTCTTCCGTCTCCAGGCGCGACTCCACACATTCTCCTGCGCCCTGCCGATACCGACAAGCTTCTCGCGGTTCCATTCCCAGGAAACCAGCTCCAACAAAGACATGAGCTCTTGGATCTTGTCTTGAAGCTTTCCTATCTCTGTGCCAAGCGGGAAGGTAGTGACCTCGGATTCGACACTCGGAGGGAGCAGCTTCTTCCAAACTGCAGCCTTCATCCCCCTCGCGGCTTCCTCTGAAGGTCTCATCGTGCCGAAACTCCACGCGACGGCCCACCGCCTCGTTTTGTTACCTTGCACAAATTCCGTCACAGCGTAGTTATTGATGTTCTTCTCTTTCAGAATCGCGATAAACTCCTCGAGGCTCGATTGTTTCCCAAACATGGACGTGTACCATTGCACCCTCTCGCGCAAAAATAGTGATTCCTCGAGGATCCTGGATACGAACTTGACCTCGCCGCCGTCTGTCACCATCTCTACTGGCGCGCCGGTGCATGCCGTCAAGGGAGGGCGTGACTTTTGCTTCGCCGAGTTTAGGAGGTCGTCTTCGGATGTATAGAACGGGGGGTTCGTCATGACGAAGGTGAGTGACTCGATGCCCAAATCGGCCAGAGGCATGATGGGATCTTGGGGCACACGGGCAATGACGGAGATTCGACTCTGTAGATTATTCAACTCCACGTTCCTCTGGGCGAATTGCAGACTCTTGGAGTCAATGTCTATTGACGATCAATGCCTGAACGGTGTACATTGAGAGATGGCAACATACCCGTCGCGAAAAAGGACCATTTCCGTTGGGTACATCCTAGAAGCGGGTAAATACAGCTTGCTCCAGTGCCGATATCGAGGCCGAGGACTTTTTGATCTGGAACACCGTAGGTGGTGCTATCCAGTAGGGTCTTCAGCCAAAGGAGGTAATTGTGGCGATTTGGTACCTTTTGCTGTCAGCAGAGCAACTATGATACGTCCAAGACCTTTGGAAGACTGAACTCACAGGTGGACACAAACGATCGTCAGGTAGCTCAATGTTCAGCCCAAAATCAGCTTTCAGCAGCGTCTTCGTGAGCTGCATCACGGCAGATGGATCATTGAAATCAAGATTTCCACGTTTGAGCCTGGGAAAAGAACCGATCAGCCGTGCTAACGCAAATTCTATTGATGTTATCACATACATAGCTCCAAAGAGCGGATCTTGGCGGCCCAGCTTTCCAAAGTCGGGTTCCGTCGAGTAGAGATTGCGATAGTAGGCATCTGCGTGGGTACCGGGCTCTGATGGTCGATTCACGAGTCCGCGATTAGCGCGGCGAATTGTGTTTTGTAAGCTGACATCGTGAGCTGCGGAAGGAGTACTCTCCGAGCTTCTTCGTCTTTTGCCGGTCATGGCTGTCGGGGGTGGTTGGTGTGTTTACTCGATCCACCGTCACTGGGCGAATTTTGGATGAGACCGGTAGGATATGACAATAAACAAAAGGTTCGAGAGCGCATAAAGACCTTTGTCAGGGTGATCATCGAAATGGATATCATAAGGCCTGGCTCAGGTGGTCGTGTCAAAGTTGCTTTGGCTTCAACGTTCGCGACGTGTTAGTGAAGAGAAATTATTAGTGGTGGTAGGTAGGTGGGAAGTGGAGACTGTGAGCGAAAAGCTTGCATAGATGAATATACGCTTGTAGATTGCCGGGTCATCGCTATAAGCGATATTGGCCTTCATTGTGAATGACACGCCTTTTGGAAACTGCTTTCTGCTGTGTTTTTTACAGACAATCCGCTTGTAGCCACTTGAACAAAAAGAATCAAGATGGAGAAGTCTCAGTCATAAGCTTCGTCGAGTTTTCTATGCCACACATTGCAATAGAGCCTCGTCGACTTGAGCCCCTGATGGCCAACCGAAAGCAGAGGAAGCTAGTTCAACTTCTTAATATATCCAGAGATCAAGCTTGATGCTCTAGCTTTACGAGCTAAGGATAGATCGAAACTGCTATCTTATGTTGTAGTGCACTGCTAGGCAAAAACATATCTGTGGTTGAATCTTCAATGTATAAAGGTTCCAGGAACAAATCGAAACCTGCACGCTACCATATGCAACGCTGTCATTTTCTCATGTCTGTCATACATGCTCACATATGCATCATTCCCTGCGTAAATCACTGCCCCCACATGAGGACTCTCCACCGCCAGCCTTCGAGCAGCTTCATGTCCTGGTCGACAACCTCCACGTCACCCCTCTCGATCTTGGCGCTTAGTCGCTTCAACCGCTTCGACACGGTCTTGGCCACCTGCAGAGAAACCTCGTTGGTGAAGACGTAGAGTACGGCAAAGACAAAGAAGGCGATGCTGGCGAAGCTGTTGCGGCCCAGGAGACTGTCCTTGATGCGGGCGACTAGTGCTTTGCTGCGCCAGAATGCGTACTCGGTGCTGTTAGATGCCTGGACGTCGGTTTCCGTCTTGTCGGAAGGGCGACGGAAGATGCGCTTTACGGCTGGGATGAAGGTTGCTCTACAAGCAGTTGTCAGCGAGGCCCCACGAGCTCATCATACAATGAGATCTTACACAGCTCCACCGATGAGCCAATTTCTCCAGCGGTGATTCTCGCCATCTTTGATTAGGGTTCCGACCTCCTTCCGCAAAACCTTGAGATCACCTAGCAGGACACGACCTTGGGCCCTAATCTGGTCTTCCAACTCCAACGACATAGCACCATCCAGTCTACCTCTCTTTCTTTGCAGAGACAAATACTCCCGGAGCGCAAATTGGGTCCCGGTCTTGACCGTTTTCAGGTCCTGCGTCGTCGTAGTAAGAGGGTTCAGGGCAGCTGAAGGACGCGGACCCTCCACCATGCTAGCCTGTTGGGAGTGCGGATTTGGATAGGCTGCAGGGCCAGACATGTGCTCAACTGGAGCTATACTCGTTGGCCCAGGAGGCGGGCCTCCATAGACTGTCCCAGGGTACGGAGCCGTGGGTGTGGTAGACTGAGGCGGCCGAGAGTATGGGTCGACTGAGACCCCCGGCGGCGCTCCAGAAGGTGGTGGAGGGTATGACCCGGGTCCATTGTACGGACCAGGCGCCGTTGCAACCGGCCGGCTGTCCATAGTTTCGGGAAGCAGACCACCCTAACCTAGCGGCGGTGAGAAATAGTCTCTTTCGGGCTGCAACTGGAGCGGAGCGGATCAAGCGGGAGTGGAGGCGGGTCTCTCAGAGCAGAGCTCAACTGCAACAAAAGAACAACAGAACAAAAGCAAAGAACAAAGAATGGCAAGTCTATGGACAAGGTACGAGGATAATATGAGCAACGAGAAAATAATGAGGTGGCGGGGGAGCGAACTTGGAGAAGAGCTGGAAACAACTCAGCTCACTGCAGGGCGAAGGCGGAGGGAAGGTGACAGGAAGGTGAAGGCGGCATAAAGGTGGGGGCTTGCCAGCGAACGGGATCCACTGCGGGATGTGGGTCCATCACACCGTCGCAAGTGTGGCGCAACCTGGAATCCTCAGCCACATATTGGCAGCTTCGATTCTTCCTGGGGCGTCACGTCACTCTCTGTCAGAGCTCAACCAAGTGTGAAGCTTTCCATTCTTTCGCAAAGCCAACAACAGCGCCGTCGCCAATCACCTGCACCAATACACAATGCCCGATCCAGCGAGCTCACGGTTCACGCCGTCCAACAAGACAACAACTGAGCGCATCTCAGACAGCACCGTAGGCCTCGTCGCGCTCTCCGACTTTCGCAAGCGACGCGCCGAGGTCCTCGACCAGCAAGACCGCGAACGAGAAGCTGCCCTATCCGGCACATCCACGCCCGACCGATCCAATTCCGCGACGCCAGACCCCGGGAGCGACTCGGCCAGCGGCGCGAGCAAACCAAAGAAGAAAAAGAAGAAGCTCGGCGGCAGCAAGCTATCTTTTGGCGACGATGAAGAGGAAGAGCAAGGTTCGCTGCCAGTAAAGAAAGGCAAGAAGGCAGCCGAAGGCGAGGATGAGAAAAGCGTAACCTCGAAGAAGTCCAAAGTCATTGCGAACTCGTCCGTGGCGTTCGTGCCCAAGGTCATGTCCAAAGCAGCATTGCGACGCGAGGCGGCTGAGAGAGAGGCGCTGCGCAAAGAGTTCCTCGCGATACAGGAGGCCGTCAAGGCGACAGAAATTGCAATACCGTTTGTGTTTTACGATGGATCAAATATACCTGGTGGCACTGTCCGTGTCAAGAAGGGCGACTACATCTGGGTCTTCTTGGACAAGAGTCGAAAAGTTGGCGCCGAGTTAGGCGTGGGAGAGAAGGCCAATGCACGAAGAGAATGGGCGAGAGTTGGTGTGGACGACCTAATGCTCGTCCGGGGGTCAATCATCATTCCACATGTGAGCCAATTGTGCTTCTGTCTATTCGAGTCTTTCACTAATTCTCTACAGCACTACGAGTTCTACTTCTTCATCATCAACAAGAATGCCGGCCCAGGCGGCCAACAACTATTCAACTACAAAGCCGACGCGCCGCCCAAGAAGGACGGACTGGAACCAGACGAAGCTCCAGCTGCCCCATCTGGCGGCCTGACTACCGCAGCTGCTCTCAAGGCGGCTGCAGTCAAGGCCCTGCCTGACATCAACACCCTCGAAGGTGCCACAGACGACCCTACCCTGACGAAAGTGGTGGATCGGCGCTGGTATGAGCGCAATAAGCACATCTATCCAGCGAGCATGTGGCAAGAGTTTGACCCCGAGAAGGACTATGATACGGAAGTGCGGAAGGATGCCGGCGGCAACACGTTCTTCTTTTCGAGGTGAAGGCTGTTTCGTCGACTAGGTTTGTCGAGCCGGAATCAGAGGGTCGCTGAGGGGGATCTCAGTTATGCCACGAGTGGAGTGGCGTTCTCGCTCGTTCATCCCGACAGCGTGCGAAGAGTCAAGACGAGGCCCAGGATAAACAACCACCCCGGCCAGAAGACCATGACGATCAGCATGTTACCTCCAGGGCCCAGTATCGTTGTTGCAAACTCCATGAAGACCTTCTTCCTCAGCTTCTGGATTTGTTTGGATTTCCACACATGTCTCATGGACGTGCGGACTGCCGTCGTCGTCTTCTTGATGGCAAATAGCGAATGGACGGCGAAGAGTCGGGTTGCTATGACTGCCGACGTGAGGGTTGAGGTGGCGAGAAGGTGTGCGTAAAGGAAGAGGAGCGACGATGCCACAGCCACTACTCTTTGGAAGCGGGCCGCGATGTCAAAGATTGGCCCGAGTGCGGCAACGAGATCTGACCGTTGGCGAATGGTCACGCCTGGCTCGTGTTTGGACGAGGTCAACAGGGCGACTTTGTTCATGATGGCGACGGCAGAAGAGGTCTCGGCAAAGACGTGGTCACGACGTACAGCGGTGCCTTGTTTGTTTTGGCGTGCTTCAATGCCATCAGAGGCGTGGCGAGCACGTTGCAACTCACGATATATATCAAGGGGCATCGAAGAGCAGCGGCAACTGCATGCGATTCATCCCACCCTATGGACTTTTGGACTTGCGGTAAAAGCGCCTCTGAGGTTCTCGATAACACATAACGTTTGGATGAACATGGACATCAGATGTGATAGAGCTCGCAGCTGTTGCGGTGCTATATGCCTAACACGAGCGATGTCTAGAATTTTCTACCCCTCCATCGTGTCGAGATTGATGCTGTGACAGCCCCACCACCGCACCCTTTCCCTGGCGACAAACCATGTCGACACGTGGGGCTGGCTGCTCGCCGGATCGGTTCTTGAAGCTCACATCGGGCCTCGAGGCTGGAGTGGAAAATCAGCAACGTGGAGTCTCATCGACTCTTATTCGTGGAATACTTTGGCCCCCCGTGGGATCTTACAGGCTAGAATCTCCATCTTTCAACTTTGAAGCGGTTGCGTTACCCCTCGATGGACCCTGATCTTCAACACTTCAGATTCCATTGGCTGTGCACATCAGTTTGATCTTATCGCGTTTATCGCGCTCGTGATCGAGGAGCCATCGCCTTGAGTAAGGTAACCCCGGATTTCCTGACCTCTCGGAGTTGGGTATGGAGGCATGTGGCGGACCCGTGTGTCTGCCGCCGACCGTGTAGCAGCAACGCATTCTCGCGGGTTGCCGCATCTGCCGTTTCCGGCATGCGTCCGACTCAAGCGGATTGTTTACTCCGGCATTTTCGGGTCATATCGGCCACAGTTGGGAAACGAGTAGCCTGTGGCGCCACACTGACGTGCCACACTTTGTCATCACACTTAGTCATTCACATCCAACTCTCAGGTGTGGCTGGTGCTCCGGCCACTCGTGCCACCCTCACAACCAAGGGGTCACCCGCTCTAAAAACATGAATCTCTTTACGATCACTACTGCGCAAGCAAGACTCATAATTTCTTCGCCGTGTATGTACCGGATAGCGACAGACCGCCTTCTTCAGCCGCTTCATCTTTTCTCGAAGCACCGATGGCGATTCCATTGTGCATAGAGCGGTCAGACCTTGCCGCCGATGTATTCCTACATCCACCAAGAAAAGCCCAGCACATCCATTTCAAGAGAGAATTCATTTACTGGAGAGTCACAAGTCGGAAACGGACCAAAGATTGTTTGGCGGTCCTGGAGTCCCAGACCCATGAAGTCGGTGAAGATTGAACACAACCGCAGTGAAGTGTAACGTTCCCACGAAGGTTTGAGACGAAATAGAAACATTTGAGCGACGATCGAATTCACTTGCTTTCCGTCCGGTCCGACAGAGCCACCCGCCAAGATCCTTCGCCTAGGCGGTAGTGGCTGGTCGAAAGGCACTTTGACGATGGGCACGACCGGCTTTGTGCGCCCTTCAACGAGGAATTGAGCGCGCCGCCCGCCCACCGGAGCCGAGGATGGCATGACGAGCATGACAAGCGCCGATCCGACAAGTGGTTCTTCAGTGGAGATGCGGCTGGAAACGAAGTCACTTCCTCCAGGCTTTCTCCCCCTAACGACCTGACTGCACTGCATGACGGATGGGACCAGAAAACAAACGCAGCGATATGCATATCTTGCAGCCTGGCTCCATGCAGGTTCCAGGTCAACGATGTTCCTGGTCGTATCTGCCAACGTTTGCATCACAAGGAGCCACCAGGGAGGGCGCGGTTCATCTATTCTTCCCTCGTAATCCAGAATCTGACCGAGGAAACCCCATCCAGTCTTTGACAACTGATTGGGATCAGACGAACAAGAATAACGAGGCCCTGGAATCGTCTCATCCGCTACCCAAAACGTCCAAGGTGTACCCGTGATTCTCAACAAGGTCGTCGCTGCAAGCAAGAGGGATTGTCATTTAGACCATTCATGCATACCCCATCCCACTGGCATCCCCTCTGCTGTGTTCAACACGAGCCAGCGATCGGCAGTCCGCTCCAGGGCACACGCTGTTCGAAGAAAGCCAATAGCTGCTAGCTGTCAGCTGCCGAGCCGAGCAGTAGGCAGGCCCCAGCTGAGTTTACGTGAAAATGTAGTGAATAACATGAGGACGAAAGACAATTCTTCTAATAATACACATCTCGCACCAACCCGAACCAGAATGGTGCCTGCAGCGACAAGCCGGAATCGGGCAATTCTGATCGCTCTTCCAACCCCCATGCTCCGCTCAGCGCCGTCTTTACCCATTACCTACTGTACGAGTGAGCGATGCGACCCCCCTCACCCCTCTTTTTGTTTCTTCCGCTTGTCTGCCAACGGGCACGATCTACGCCGCGTTTGTGGGGGAAGAGGGGATGGGATGGGATAGGTGAGAAAGGATGTCGCTTGACGGCGACACGGTCCTTCCAGTTGACTGCGGTCGCAAGAAACACGAGAATGGTACCCTTTGTGCTACGTCATGGTTCAACGGTGCCACCTTTCCGGCCTTACCGACTTTCATGCGATGGATGGCTGGGACTCCAGGGTTTAGACTCTTTGATGGCATGCTGTGCGGAAGGGCAACTGGCGATCTTTTGTCAAGGTCGATGGGATTGGTAAGAAAATTGACGATGTTATGTGTACTTAAACCTAGGTGATGTTCCTCGTCTGAAGTCTTGAGATTTTGCACCACACCAGCACGCTTCTTCCGTCTCATATCAATTCATCTCACCTAATCCCACTTCATAGAAAACATACACTCATCCTCTCAAATCAAAGAACCCTCAACTCATCACAACCCCACAACTTCTCAAGATGCACTTCCTCGCAACCCTCCTCCTCGTCGCCCCAGCCCTCGCCTCCCCCATCGCCCAGCGCGAGGAGACTTGCGGCCAAAAATCAGGCAAGCTCTCCGAGTGGACGCTCACGGGCTTTGACTACCACGCCAGCTACATCTTTAGCACACCTTCCCACCAGAACTCGTGGGGCTACATCAGCTTCAACGTCTCGAACCCGGTCCTCGACTATACCGTCGCATGCTCCGCCGCCAGCAGCCGTCTCAACGACTTCTTCTACGGCGAGCAGGTCTACCAGTGCACGCCGCCCGAGGGCGGGGAGAGCACGGCCACGTCGTTCACGTGGAGTACGCCTGAGAAGGCCGTTGCGTTGAACCAGTCGTGGACTTGCAATGATGATCCCAAGTACCCGTAAGTCACATGCCCTCTCTCTACATCTGAAATCCATCGCGTGGGTTTTCCCCTGTCGATGAAACATTCGTGCCGAAAACGTCACGAAGTACGGTTCTGCCATGAGAAATGCCCAGGCTAATTGGAATGCGATCAACCAGAGCCCGCTACACCGCAAAGGGCGGCGCCGTCGCCGATCTCCAGTGCGAGGAGACGTTTTGGCAAAACGACAACTGGACCATTGGCCAGATTTACTCGACGCGCAACATCAACTGCGGCATCATCACGCTGCCGACCCCGATCAAGGAGATTTCCGCGGTCGCTTAGACGGCATCATTCTTAATCACGGTTCACGGGTAATCACAGTTTCCGCGCCGAGCTCAATTCTATCGGCGCAAATCCAACGACGCTTTACACGACTTTTATGATGATTTGGCTGTTTTGACTTTCACGACACTCCTTTGATGGATACTTCGCACTTTTGCATGGTTCCGGCGCCTGGAAAACCTTTCCCGGTCATTGACCATGATGATGGGAATGAGGATGCTATTTTGGGATGAAAATGGGACACGGAGCATATAGAAGCATATTTGGGATAATTCTAATGATATAATTTTTCTTCAAACTCACTATGAGCGTCATTCGGATGACCGTGAATTGATTGGCATGTTCGAGAATTTTTCAAATGCAGTATCTCTGGTCTATCATATGCCTCTCATCAATCAAGACAGACCTACTGATAAGACACTCTGACGGGCAAGTTTTAAACGCGTCTTTGGAGCACAGCTTTTCAGGAACCTTGAATCATAGAAACATAAAAGCCATTGGGTATCTCCTCCTTATCATTCACACCTTGGAGGCTTCACCCTCATCCCAATGAGTCTCCCTTCAGTCATCAGCCGTCTGCCGACACAGCCACGGATCCTCCATCAGCTCTCGGGCGGATAGCCTGTCTTCTGGTCTCCACTGCAGCATCTTCCTCAGAAACACTAAGAACTCGGCTTGCTCCGCTCCCTCGAGATTACACTCTTCCTCCTCAAACGAGGACTCTGGTATCTCGCCGTTGACAATTAGTTTTCCTGTCTCGCGCGCGTCAGTCCCAGCCAGCCTGTGTTTTAACATACTTGCGCAGTTATCGACGAACCTTCTTCGTCAAAGATTTCTGTCCATTTTGACCCTCTGTCCAGGAGATCATCGGGCGGGGGTCCAAGCAAAGACACCGTTCTCGCAAAGTGAGCTGCCCGGGACGCATTCCGATCGCGGTGTCGGGTGTTGTAAAGAAGCTTCCCTTCGAACAAATCCCAAACCTGGTAGCAGCGGAAACTTCAGCGTTAGCATTTGGGAGCCGTCTTGCCGCGGGCGGATCTCTTACCATCAACCCCAAAGCCCAGATATCTATCTTTTCGTCCCAGGGAATTCCAAGTATGATTTCGGGCGCGCGGTACAGATCTGGCATCACCTCGCCGTCGAAGTCGCCTTCTCCGTATTGTGCATCACCGAAATCTGAAATGACAGGATCGCCTGGCTCATCTGGAATCTCGAGCCCTGTTGATGCGTAGATGGTGCGATCACCCATGACTTTTCTCGCGCTTGGAAGCCTCCATTCTTCGTTCACTAGTTCATCCAAGATTGTCGTGTCTGAAATTGAGAGCATGATGTTTCCATCTTGAATATCTGAAGTGTGTGTTAGTGAAACCGATCTGGGCGCCGATGCCGAGAACACCTCAGCCTCCGAGGTGCATGGTGGTGAAGTAATGCAGGAGCACAATCATCCTCACCTGTATGGACGACATGTGCAACTGAATGCATATAGTCAATGACTAGTAGTAAGCCATATATCAAGCCCTTTAAGAGATTCTCCGGCAGCTTGCCACCTGCTAATTCTCGAATATCGGCCAGGGATAAGCCTAGAGTCTCGAAAACCAAACAAACATGCGGGCCGATTTTCCCCTGCAGCTCAAAACTGTCTTTGATGGACCGAAGCAGTTTCTGTCCTGGATGCTCAGACTCAAGGCGTTCTAAGTGACGAAGGACCACTTCCTCGTTACGAGCCTGCCGATGACCAGTCTCGTAGACTTTCAAGGTGACATAGCAATGCTTCCTAGACTACCAGTCAGCTAAGTAGCCCTCGAAACGACGACAAATCCAGAAATCACCCGCGCACATACGCAAGATCACGACACAACCACACCGTCGACGCAGAGCCAAACCCCAACTTCAGCAGCACCTGATACCGCGACTCATAAACTTCGCCAATCTGAACTGGGTACCACTTGTCGGCAGTATACCAAGCGAAAGCTTCCTCTTCAAGGCGAACCTCATGGCCGTACAACTCCTCCGGTTCGGCGTCCGGCAGCCGCCGTGGGGGCGAGGCGTCTCTCTCCGCGGCCATTGGCGTCAGGGAGCCGCGGCGACAATGCGGTCGGAATAAGTGGTGAAATGTGGACTCGGAGACATGGCGTTGTTGCGCGCAGGGTTTGCTCGAGGCTCTGACTATTTTTTGTGGGGTGGAGATGTTAAGTGCCCGTGGTGCTGCGGGCTTCCCCACTAACAAAAGTCTCGGGTGACCACTTGCAACTTGATTTGGTTTCCAGCAACCTCCATTTCTCGTTTGCGCTGGAGCTGAGTAAGTGAACTGATTGAGTAAAAACTCTCAGCTGATGTGTAAATGCGAAAAGACCAAATATTGCAGAAATTTCCTGTCAGCGATTTCCGTTTTAGCTTCAAGATAGTCGGAACCCTCGTTCACCATTCTAAAGCTTACGGTGAATCGAGCAACTCAAACAGTCATCATTACTTGGTTATCCAACACTGATTCAAGTTGACCATACAGATTCTCAAAGTTGGTTCCTCGCGCTCTGTTTTGACAGAGTTAAAAAGCCATTGAAACACAAGTTGTACTAAGTATTGCATAGCTTTAGGTAATCTAGTCGTGTTAATCGCCAAGTTGGTGCCGATGACACCAGAATGGTCAGCCGCAACCATAAGTTTCAACTTTCGGGCACCCTTTTGCCATTTGTCTTGCCCCCAATACATTTGCCAACTTGCTTTTGAGAGTAGCGCCCATAGAGACCTAGCGCCTCTGCATTCATCTTTAAAGTGTTGCACTGGATTCCCCGTTGGGAGGCATAGGCCTGACATCTGTAAGTGTAAACTCACAGCTAAATCTCATCTCAAGACCCTCACCGTTGCGCGTGTCTGCGCACACCAAAAGGACCTTAATTGTCCTGAATTTATGTAGAAACAGCAATCTTACATCTTGAAGGCATTCGAAGCTATGCTTCTGGGCCAATAGTAACGCCTTTCCAGTGGGTTAAGCGTGACACAGCAAATATGCGTTGTCTGTCAGACAATGTAGCTGGGATTGCGACGGAGATAAGAATGCTTCATGGTTCGACTAATGGGTAGCAATGGAGACGGCCAAGTTTATCGATGGACTTGCGAGTGCTTGAGAAGCCCGAAAGGGCGAAAGAAGGATTTTGGCAATCGCTACATTTCACATTTTGACACCCAAAATCAAAACATGGACATGATTAGAGGACGAGATTACTAGTAATCGATTTTCGAGGGAGTTGTTCGAGTACGAAGAAAAATGCGAGACCAATGTCAATGGACACATCCGAGTGCGAGCACCGTTTTCGCAAGCACTCATGTGCTTTGCCGTAATTTACCAGATGCGAATGCGATTGCCGTTGCATTGCAGTCTGACCGGCACCGCTTGAGTCACCCGACCGGCACGGTGAGAAGAATCGGGTTTGGGCTGTCAGCACCTTGAATCCTATCTGCGCCACAAGATGGAGCCGATAAATCTGTTGGACCTCAAGCCAACATCGAAATGTTCGAGCATTCGACTCAGGACTATAAAGTCCAAGAGGTTAGTTCTGTGACAATAAGCCGAAATTGGGACGGAGACATTGAGGTAGATAATATAGTCTCAGCCTGAATACTCTCTCACATCTACCTGTTCTTCACCTGACCTAGTCGAGAACTACATCTTGAGAGCATCAATTGCCAGCTTCAAAATGAACCCGATTAACACCAAGCCGTACATTCTTCCCCCGGTCGCAACTTGGTTGAGTAAGTTTCGGCGCATTGATTATCGCTTACCTAGGTTCACACTACTGACATACTACCAGTCACTGGATGTTCGTCGGGTATCGGCCAAGCACTGGCAGCTCTCGTCGCAACCACGCCGAATCATCGCTTGATCGCAACAGCTCGGAATCCCGCCGACCTAGATTACCTGCCCGATGACGACGTCAACCTCCTCAAACTTGCCCTTGATGTGACATCACCAACCTCGGTGAAAGAGGCATTCAAAGCCGCAACCGCATACTTTGGTGAAGATTTCCATCTCGATGTTTTGGTTAATAATGCCGGGTATTCGCTATCTGGCGATACTGAATCTGCGACCGAGGAACAAGCTCACCAGGAGATCGAAACCCTCTTCTTCGGTACGGCTCGAATGACTACTTGCGCCATCGAGAACATGCGACAGTCCGAAACTCGACGTGGCGGGATCATTTTTAATATCTCCTCTCTTGCTGGACAATGCGCCTTTCCAGGTCACGCGTACTACCATGCCGGGAAGTGGGCCGTCGAAGGATGGACTGAGTCCGTAGCCAGAGAGATGCATCCTGATTGGAATAGTAAGCTAGCATCATATCTCATATGGAAATTCTCAGGAGTTGCTGACGTTTTTCAGTAAACTTTTGTATCGTAGAGCCGAGTGGTGTCCAGACCAACTTTGAGGGCCATAGCAAGGCGCGAACTGAGCCTCATCCAGCCTATGCCGAGAAAGATATGCCGGCACGTGTTCTCGAGAGATACGTGGAGATGGGTATCAAGTCGGGAACTCTTACCAAGCCGTCTGCGATTGCAGACGCTATCTTCGGTATTGCGTCTAGCAAGAAACGCATTCCCTTGCGCGTGCCCCTCGGCGAACCTGCCTGGGGCTTTATCAAGCAGAAGCATGAGACCTGCTTGAGAGACCTCGAAGGCGTCAAGGATCTCAGTCTGTTGGTATTCAAGACGTGATGGGACTAGGAAGCATCCACGTATGCAAGGGTTGGAACGAGTGCATGCCGTCCGAATACAATCAAGAATTTCTGTATTGAAGGTTGCTGTTACTTGAGCATCCTATGTGGTCAAGTCTGGCCAACAAATTATGCCGTCTCTTACCTCTACTCCATGTTCATTCTACTTCTTGGTCCCAAATAGATGGCAGATGGTAATCAAATCCTCACGCAGCATTTCATGGCAGTGAAAATTCCCATATACTCCAGTCTTCCGTTACCAGAACGTCATTAATTCGTACCCAACCGGCCAGCCGTAGGAGGACGGCTCGCAATATGTCCATGTATTATACATCTTGAGTCTTTCCTCAAGCAGGCACCAGATGGATGAAGCTCAACCACCAGAGCAGCTCTGTAATACCGCGTGGAGCTTGCCTCGTAATCCACGTATTAGTAATTCCCTTCGCCTCATTACCGGCCAACCTCGACGTGGTAATCCTTGGTGACCTGGATTCCCGAGTTGTAGTTTCCCCCATCATCGGAACTACGATCGTCCGCAAATGCCGTGGTCTGGCTCCTGGCGCCTTTCGGATTCACAATATGCTCTTGGCTTCCTACAGATGTGTCGTCGAGCTTCTGATGGCCATTCCTGACGCGGGACATCTTGTGGGAGCTGCCGGTGCCGCCAAATGTGACCAGACCGGAGTGAGGAGTACTCGGATTCGTGGAGCCGGTACGTCGATGAGGGAAAAGCGGCTTGATTGACGGAGCGTTCGTGCAGATAATCGCAATAACCTGGCATGAAGCTGATTAGCCTAAATGAACATTGGGAATGAGGAAGAAACGCCTCTTAAGCTCACCGTCTCGCGGATGGACCAATTCAATCCCAAGTCAAGTCGTTCCGGGGTGCTCAAGCAGATAATGCACCGCAATAGCGTGCAAATTACGATAAAGAAACCGGCACAGAACATTAGGCCGAATGCAAGCTTCCTGTGGCTTTTGTTAGAATCACAGACGCATCCAGTGTTCAGTCGCAACTAACTTTTGAAGAGTGGTCTGCAACCTCCACAACAACGGGATTGGAATGTACATGATCATGATGTCGGTTCTATGGACACGCGTCAGCTAAGAAATGCCATTAAAGATTCAGATGCATCAGGACTTACACGACGTTTGTAGTCACCAACGCGTAATACTTAGAGGTGTTTTGCGTGCAGTCATCTACTGGATGTTAGATTCTCGCTGTCCGACACGTTTCGAAACCCCAAATTATCTTCCTTACCTCCGGCATATGGATATACCTGCCACAGCTTGTGCATAGGACGGCAATGTCCTGTAACAACCGCAAGTGTTGCCAAGTAGGCAAAGACGGTAATGACGGACACCACCTTGACGAGGCGTTCCTCTGGCAGAGTTTTCCTGCAAAATCGTTCTTGAGCCTATGTTCCGCAGGAAGATGACAACAGCAACTTACGTGACTCTGGAGAAGAAGAAGAGCATAATGCCCTTCAGACTCCAAATCATGCTAACGTAGATATACCACGCAGCGAAAAGCCATTTCGCGCCCGTTTCGTGACTCTTGTATTGTTCTGGCGTGAGGCTCAATGCGATTTCGTCGGTCATGCCCGTGATGCTTCCCTTCTCAACTAGAAAGCGGTCGTTAGAACAAAAGTAAAGTTTTCTTGGCACACAAGAGTCTGTTCTTACCGATGATTTGACACATCATAACCTCCAACTAAGGTTCATGGTGTTGTCAGCGGAGCCTGCTCCGTGGTGTGGTAGGGGATAGGGGTTCCCCGTTGAGACAACAAACTAACCGTGAAGAATATAATGGCCGCCACGGCCAAATAGTCGTCGCCTTGCCATTTGAAACCCACTACCTTCTTGCATCTCGTAAAGATTCGTAGGAAAAGAACCAAAATTCCAATGGCATATTCCACCCACATCTCAATCACCGCCGGCATCAACGCTTCAGCGACCGCCATTGTTGCGGGTTGTCGGAGTTGACCGCAAATGCACGTACGCACACACACACACACACACTCGTTCTTAATCGGGGATAGGCAAAAACAAAGCGCTTCCAAAAAGTTGAAGGAGTAGACCTGCGGGTAATGCTGAACCGGCTAGACAGACGCCAGTTTTGGGCAGCTCGTGCTTAAGAATCGGGTCGCGAAAAGGTTGCAGAGTCTGCCGCCTGCAGGACCCATCTGCAGGTTACTTCCAACCTGCAATCGGCAGTTAGGATCGACCAAACCCTCGTTCATTGGGTCCAGGGGAACGACTGGAAGACATAAAGACAGTGAACCGTGATTGTGGACTCAGGTAGTAATTCTACGTTACAGGAAAGCGTTCTCAGGGTTGGAGGAGACAACATAGGTCCACAGTGCTGAATCGGTAATGACGAGAGAACCCCCTTTTCTCTCTTTCTCTCTGGACGTATCTGGCCGAAGTAGATTGTTTGATAGGTCAGGGCGTGGAGATCGGCAAGCACATTTCCACATTAGAAAGTTCTGCTCATGGGACATGACTTAGCAAGCTGGCAGACAAGGACTGCATTGGCCCGCGGAAGGGAACGTCAAACTGACTTGGCAGCAGAAAGCAAGGGCTCCTGAAGCATTTGCGTGGCATCGGAGAAAACGACATAACATGACTTTCGTCCCATGCGGGATTCGTAATAATGGAGAGTTTGGCCAGTAGCTGGTTATGTGAACTACGAAGTTGTAATGATGGATCATAAGATGCTTGGTAAAGCCGTTGGATCATCAAAAACGGGAACCACTAGGGACCACATTCTCAACCACAATCAGCGGATGGGCAGGTTAGATCTCGGTCGACGGTCGCACATCCCCCAAAGCCAGACCATTTCTGGTAAGACAATAGATCCCTCCCGTGGTCTCGCCTTCTGGCCCGTTGGGCCGCGACGAGGTTGCCGGCCGGCGGACCCCATGCACGTTGTATTTCTATTAGTCGTTGCTGAAGAACAGCCCCGTCCGGGGAACAGGACCGGCTTGGAACAGGGGCCCCTGTGAACTCTATTCTCAACCACTGACTCAATCCCGGCCCGCCCCCACTCGGAAACACTTGCTGATTGTGAATGTGCAGTTCCTGATTGAGCGAAATTTTGGCCTCGTAATATACCGGATGAACGTGGAGCACGGAGCAACGAGCACGCAAGACGGAATGCTTCTCTGCTATCAGTGCCCACCGGCTGCTAGAGGAGGCTCTTCGTCTGTTTATCGTGAAAGGTCACGCACAAAGGAGGGCTACAGGGGCGATTTTGACACAAACATAAGATGACTTATTATTACTATTACGGTTTACCACTCAATGGGCTGGGACTTGATCGGCGCGTCGAAAAACGCTGGCAGCTTGGCGATGTCCACCTTTTCGCTCGCGAACGCGGGGTGGGCGTCGTATGCAAGAAATCCTGTTCCATCATAACACCCAACGTACTCCGCGTCCATCTCTTCACCCTTCAAAACTGCTACATCAACCCAAAGCAGCAAATCACCACCCTCCATAACTCCACCAGGCCCGTATGCAGCGAAAAAGTCGCGTCTGAGCTTGACGTGAACCTTATCCGTTCTGCCGATGTGTTCCATTTTGGAAAGGTCAAGCCAGAAGAGAATCTGGGCCTGACGAATGTAGTCCAAGCCGGGGAAGATTCCGTTGCCGTGACCATTTGTCAAAGTTCCGTTGGTACCATTTGTGCCGTTGGTTGAGGCGCCGTTGACAGCGCTTTTCGTGGCACCAGGTTGCTTATCTCCCGCAAAGGCGTGGCAGGCTCTTGAAGAAACCATCCCACCGGCGGGACCAGCGTTCATGACATTGGTGACCCATTGCTTGGTCAGACCGTCGAAGTTCTCGTTCCAGTGTTCGCGCTCGTTATCATTCATGGCACTGTAGTCTTGGCCCTCGACAACAAAGGAGATGTTGTCAGGGAACTTGGACACTCTGACCCTTCCGGGGCGGATCTTGTCCGTCAAAGGACGAGCCTCGGGTACCGCAGGCAGAGGAGACTCGAACTTGTCTTCCGGTCCATCAGGGGTCATACGCGAGCGGTAGGCGCCCCAGTATCCCGTTTTCGAAGTGAGGGGGATCAGCTCGCCGCAGTGGCCGAACCCGGAAGGTTTTTCCTTGTTGGACTCGTACATTGATCTGGTGGCGGGCAAGCTCACGGTCTCTCTCCAGAAACCAGCGTTCTCAGGCAGAGCGGCCCAGAAGGCAGAAGTTTCCGGGCTCTCCCACCATGCCTTGAAAACCTGGGGAGACTTCCAGTAGCTCATCCAGACCTTGGAGGGGAGGTCATTTTGCTCGAGCTCCTCGACATGAATCGCCGCGGCCTTGATGAGTCCGTCAAACGTGTTGATGAGAGCCAGCTTCTCCGGTGAAGGTGAGTCGGCGTGATACTGGCATCCGAAGATTGACACAGTGAAGTGATGAGCTGATGGGAAACGAGATCGAAGCATTTTGAAAATCTGCACAACGATATGCTAATGACTGGGGAGAAAATGAGGCGGCAATGAAGCCGAATGAAGGACCCTCGAGCCTTTATAGCGTAGCATAACAATCCTACTCTCCCCCACCACAGCAAGGACGGACAATTCGTAATGCAGATGTTCTCTCTGGGCAACCTCTGGCTCTACCAGCTCCAGCCAACCATGCTTCGAACACCCCCCTTCTCATTCCTAATACGCGCAGCCCAAATGCATGGCCATGCTCAAGATGGACCAAGATGGGGGTATTCGTCTTGACATATGCAGGGTCGCAGTGTGGGCGGAGAGCGAAGGCCAATGGCAAGGACAGAAGGAGGGGAGACGGAAGAGCTAGCCAAGGTCCTGGAACATCTTCACCGCCGATCAACAGCGGTGCAACATCTTCAAAATGAGAAGCGGAGACGCGGGGCTCAGCCAGACTCGGACAGCTGGGGTGTCCCAAGTTCTGCATTGTTCTCCATCTCAAAGAAATCCCATCATCGAGAGTCCTAGTTGCCGACCGTTTAACCCCAGGGCAAGGTTATATTAGGCGACGCTCGGATCTCACTTCCTAAAGGGGATCTCCCTGCAACGTTTTCTGTCAAGTTACGACATTTCATCAAAACAGCCTCACTTAACCGGGAAACAGAGCCCGCCGAATCATTCAGTCTCCCAACCTTACGAAGTGCGAGGAAGCGGTCCTGCGCAGACGGTGAATCCAACAAATTACGGACATCCTGATTGCAATTTCAAATCTCTCCTTCGGCTAAGCAGTCGAGCGCTTACCGCGTTATCTTAACATCTCGACGCCCCACTTCCCAGAACATGACAAGGATTTCGAATCCGAAACCGCATCAACTTGGAGTCTTGAACAAGTGAACCCCTTGTCAACCCTTCGTATGAGCAACATATCAGCAACAGATGCTCTCCTATACTGGCGTTGATCTGAGATGTGACGAGTATTGAACATCATGAGTGTCTTTGCAGGTTGTTCGTCAGTTCGGGCACTCTGGATAATTAAGTAAGCTGACGACTCCAGCCGGGACAATGAACTAGGTGATGTTGTTTGATGCCTGTGATGTACGTTGCTAGTTCGTACTGCTCTGTCAAGTAAAATCTCGGGAAGGGTGCTAGCCCGATTCGCCGCATAGCTAGAAACAGTAACTCAAGAGGGCCGGTCGCAGAAGAAACGGGGAAGCCCTATTGACTCAAAGTATTCAAATGACTGATCTTTCTGGATTACACGAGGTTGTATGAGAGGCTGGCGCTGATTGCATCTTGATCTTCTCCTCTTGCTTTTCCTGCCAGATAGAACTTTGAGGAACTCTTCTAATGTGGAATCAGATGGGCAAACACCTTGGGCAGTAGTATTGGAGTATCTTCCCTGGGCTCTATGCTCATACAAACTGTTGTTGCGTTCCGTGATATTTGAGCTCGTAATTAGTAGATCTGGTACATACCACACTGACACTTGACGACAGGGCGATAACTGCCGTTCCCCGGTGTTGCTTTCTTTTCATACTTTTATTCAGCTCGAGATATGATGCTGTAATCAACTACCGTACTATGTGCAAGCGGCACGTGTCTCTCTTCTGATGCAGATTTGACAGAGCATCCGTATAGCTTCACCTACTTTCTCGAAGCTGAACTATCCGAGAACAAAAGTTCTTGTTAGTGCAATATCACTTGCCACTGCCAGCCGATTGTATGTTGAACTATTCGAATGATCACGAATTAAGATAATTAGGCGCACTGAGGAGAAAAGATGGCGGAGCAAGCTGCAACAAACAGCCAATGATACATGTGGGCATTTCAACAGTCAGAATTATGTTCGAATCAAATCTTCTTCACACTTTTCTCTGAACAAAAAAGCAGGTCAAAACTGAAGACCCGATGGACCGAAGCTAACGTTCAGTAGACATAGTTTTAATGAGATTGGGCCCGATACGTTTGGTTAATGACGACTATCTCTCGATCCTAACCACCAGGAAACATGAACTAGAGTGAGTTTTGCCTTCGGCTCTACATTTCTCAAAATTCAAACGACTCCTTTCTATCTTGAAATCTACAGGTCAGGGTTTTACTACCATAGTTAGAGCCTTATCGCAACATACATTTTCGAGCAATGATAATGGCATAGAAAATAAATTTGGAGATTCAGCTAGAGGATGGACTTTATAACAGTTATATAAGTAGTAACAGAACAAGACCCAGCAAGCAATTGGAAATGAGATAGACGTCAATAGTGGAGTGTATACTCTCGAACATTGCTCCTAAAGGCTCGAGCTGCCTCAAACGTCGCAAGTAGATGATTCATGAGACTCTTAGGGGCGTCATTTCTTTTTAGTAGTCTATTCGCTATAGTCTAGGAGTCAAGAACTGTCCAGTAAAAAACGGAGTTCAAGTCAATGGCTAGTGAGAATTGTTTCAGACTTTCTTTTACGGGGTGTAGTACCTAGAAACCAAAGAGTAGTTGCTAGAGTCCAAAGGCAGTTGGACTTGGGTTAAGTACTGTCCATCGGGGGCCGCTGCTTCATAAGGAAGCTAATAGGAACTACCTGAGGGCCTTTATCTACATTACCCTGGTTCTTTTTCCGTGGGAAAGTATGTTACAATTTGCGAAGAAGTCTATAGATGTCTTCAAGTGTCTCAATTTGCTCAATCAGATCAAACAGTTTATGGGATGCTGGGTTTCAGCCCTGGCAGCAGCTAAACCAAAAGATGATCGACCCAGGATAATACAGCAGGCATCTCAGCAAAGTCCGCAGACATTGTTGCCATTATTAATATTGGTTGTTTGAACAGAATTGCCACCAGTTGCCTTTTTGACAGAAGCTCATGGCGTTGAGCGACAACAAGTAGACTGCAGCATGGAATGCGGGCGGAACTCTTTAGGCAACCTTCACTTCTTTCGTGCATTACCTAAGAGAGTCTTTATGTCTGGAGTAGTGTTCACTTGATAGGCTCGTAAAGCTGTGGAAGAGCTCTGAGGGGATTTGACGTGGTGTATCACGTAAGGAACGCATGTGAAACGCGATGTTGGAGGCCTTCGTAAATGCCACCCGTGATGGCGTAGCATTCAACCGAACCGCCTCTACTAATACCAATTGCCGTCGGTATGCCCGGATGCCTCATCTGCCGGCCATTCACGTGGTTTCAGGGCGCCAAGGATGAGTGAGAATGGTAGTGGTCTTCCATCTTCGCCCGCGGTAAAGGTGTGAGCACATAGCGAATCACCTTCAAGACCTCACCTCCAGAACGCCTTCTAAGAATAGATGCCGACGAATTTGATTCTCTCTGTCATTTTACTTGATAGTTAGTGCTGTATTTGTAGTTGCATTCGAATGCGGATGCAGTATCTTCATCCGAAGAGGGTTGTGATGCTTAAGCAGTGCAATATCTTGGGCTTGGCAAGGGAAGCCTAATGAACAACAACACTAACTTTAGCTTGTCCGTCGTTTCAATAGAAATACATGGTATTGGTATAACAATGAGAGCATTCAAGGAATTGAGACTCTGACGACATTCTGCAAGTTGAATAAGCTTAAAACCAACCATGCTCCAACCTTGGTGGCAATCTTTTTCACAAGCATCGGGACTCGATCTGCGTACTTCAACCTAACGCACCACTCTGGAACAAGCGGTCAACTATGCATGTCACCCTACGGCTCTGCCTGTCGGCGTTTCTCGCTCTGCACGTTTCGACGGTACACTGCCTACCATTTCAACTCAGTCTCGCACCAATCACAAAACACCTACCGAAAATATCGCCGCGTCAAGTAGGCAATGGCGTGAATGGCAATCAGACTGGCAACTCGGGGTCAATCAGCTCTGGAGGAATCGGCGATGGGAACGGCGTTGGGTTCGCGGGCACAGGAAACGACATAGACACAGGTACGAAGTTGGGCGACGACTCCCCAATACCTTGAGGAAGGCTTTTGCTAATGCTTCCCGTCTGTGCAGGCGACGATTTTGACATTGGGGACGGTAACAACACAATCGGTGATGGAAACACGATAGAGATCGGCGACCGCATTACAGAAGTAACAAATATCAATGTGGGATCTGGCAACCTATCTGACATCGGCATAGGCTCTGGGAAAGGCGCCAGGAACTCTACGGGGAACGCGACAGAGATGAGCATCAACATTAACTTGCGTGTCATGGTTGAAGATGGTCGAGTGAGCGTTGGGGTCGTGTAAGTAAGATTGTCATCAATGAGAGACTCTAGTGAAGAAATCCCATCCAGAACACACTCTGAACCACTGAGTAAAAACAAAGAATATTCAATGTTCCATTCAGTGTTGCATTCGCACTAGCAGCTATGCAGTCGCTCCAACTGTATTTGCAGTTCACGTCCATTCTTTATCCTCAATCTCTAGCATGTAATCGGTCTCGGTCCAGGGGCGGAGTACGCCTTGCCGCCGTTGTTTGGAAGACCACCAGTGCCATAGATGTTGATATAGATCGAAGGGTCGCTTTGTTGGTACGCGCCAGGGAAGCTCACAGTCGAGCTAGGCGAAAAGCTTCCAGAGCCCGTAATCTTGATATTCGCACACGAGGTGTAGAACTGCGCACCCTTCACCTGATGAGCAGAGTGAAGAGCCAACAACTCAACACGCAGTAGATACTCCCCAGGCGCAATACACTGCGGCAAGTTGAAGTAGCTCCAGCCCCCATTGTTGATCATCTTATCGACGCCCCATAACCCAGAGCTCGTGTCGAGGTTATCCTCGGCGACTTTGAACCACTGCAGCCCTGTTATCCCTGTGCTGGAAGCGCTGGGGACTTTTGCGAGCCAGGCGGTGATGGGGCCCTTGTGAGACTTTGCGATTGGGTTGTCTGGGTCGCCGGGGTACTGGGCGCCTCCGATGACATGTTGCCACCAGGAGCCGATCTTGTCCCCAGGGGCGACGGTGATGACTTCCTGAGACGATGTTGCGACTTTCCCGCAGATGATGTCTTGGGAGGTGACGTCTTCGGTTGGGTTGTTTTGGTTGGGCGCTCTGAGACCTGCCAGGGAGCCGTACTCTTTGCCATTTACGGATACTTTCTGCGAGGCGGTCGACGGTCAGCCTCGAGCTTTGATGAAGATTTGGGAGATGGCTCACCTGGAAGATGCAATGTCCTTGGGCAACAGCAGCGCAAACCGCTAGCAAGACAACTGATACCTTCATGATAACAGCCTGTGTGCAGGAGTCGGAATGACTAGAACCAGATGTGTCCAGAAATTACCACGATAGGGAACAGAGACGGTGGCTGAAAGAAGCTACATCGCGAGAAGTTCATTCTGGAAGTGGTGAAGAGGTTGCTTGTTCTTGTAAAGAACTATCCGCAGACATTGGGTTTTCCCTTTCCGCGGCGACACTTCCGAAGCCAAGAAGGGGACGCGGGCCGAGTCCATCAGCACGGCAACTCAAACTCAGAGAAGAAGAAATGGTTCCGGAGGCTAGTTAGTCGTTAATCTGCTAGCCGTGCTGCGCGGATTGATAGATCACACTCTGTGTTGCTCGCTGACTGGCCCCAACGGAGGACTCGTTCCGCTCAAGAGTAACGTCAATTTAGGCAGAACGTGTCCCGTCCATGGCGTAGTCTAGCAATAAATGGCTCGTAATGAGATTCAATTATGTGTAATCTTTGTGGAAATCAGGGGGCGTCAAATTTAATAAAAGAATTTGCCCCTGAGCCGAGACTCATGATAGCTTCTAGGCCCGTCAACTACATACCGGAAGAATGTTGTCGAGGAAAGTGGTTACTTTATTAATTGATACCCCCAGCACCTGGCCCTTTTTCTTTTTTTTTTTGGACGCGATATCACTCGTATCGAAGTCATACTGCCCCGCCTTCCATCTTCGTAACCTGGTCAATGAGGTCGACGACCGTTTGATCAAAAGTTCGGTACTCGAAGCCAAGCTCTCTCGCCGCCGTCGCCCCATCCAGCCCGTGCGAAGTGTCGATCACCTGTTCTTCCTGCGCAACCTTGCCCTTGGCCCAATCAAAGTTGTCCTCAATAATCTTGGCAGCCAAACCATATGAAAAGCGGTCCTTAGCAGCCGGAACGAACCTCCTGTTGCCCACCTCTGGTCTAAAGAGGGCTTCCACGTGCGCCAGCGCGAGATCTCTGACATCAATCCAGAACGGAACCCGAGCAATAGGCAGGGGCTTTTGTCCGCTTGCAATCTTCCACAGCATTGCGTTTGACTCATTTAGTTTGCCGGCGCTGCTTACGGGGTGGACCACGGGACCAAATGTCATTGGCGGGCACAGCGTCACGATGTCAAAGCGGGGGTTGTGCTCCTGTGTGAAATCCCATGCTGCTTTTTCTGCAAATTTCTTGGAACCTCGGTAGGCAACTACGGCGCTTATTTCCGGAGATGCGGCTTCTTCGTAGGTCAAGGGGTTCCAGTCTTCACCCGTGTATGTGAAATATGGTGGTGCCTTGCGGTTGACGTCGAGGACGGAGGCGAAGGAGGAAGTGATGACTACCCGAGTGATTTTGGGGTTGGCAACGGCTGCTTCAAGAATAGAGCGGACACCGTTGATGGCTGGTATAATCAACTCCTTCTCGTTATTCTTGGTGTCGTAGGTAAATGGCTGCATGGAACAATGAGCAAAGTTTCAAGTGATACTTGTCTCCATAGTTTCAAGGGAATCCTCACACTTGCGACGTGGACCACGGCATTGACGTCTTTGACGGCCTCGGAGAAGACACCGAGGTTCTCAAAGTCGTCAATTCGGACAAATTCGAGCTTGTCGGCGTACTCGGGCCGATCTTTGATCATTGCATCCCCTTTGGCGAGAGATCGGGTGGCTCCGCGGACCCTGAGCCCCCGGGACAGGAGAACATCTACGACGTGCGCGCCAATGAATCCTGTAGCACCAGTGACTAAAACATGGCTCCTGCGAATGTGATGTGGTGAGCTTGTGCACTTCATACTCTTGTGGAGTTCTAAAATAAGTGCATGCACTCACGGTATGCTTGACATGTTGGATGCCAGGAAGTTCGAAGTTGAAGCCAAGGGCTTATTGCGGAAAGAAGAAAAAGGCCTACGACTTGGAATTGGGCTTGGATTATGCGTAAACGAATTTCAGACGGATGTGGCAAGGACGTTGATGAGACGAAGCACCCAGGTAATTGTTGGTGAGATGCGTGGTCGCCTGGATTCCACAGTGTAGTGAGAAATGCCCCCCACTCTTCGGCCGGCTTTACCCCGACTTGGCGCCGGTCATTGCAATGGGGGGCCTGGTGTTTCTGGTATACTTGGTCGCGCCGGATTCCGCACGCTCTTCTTGTTGAAGTCAAGGTAGACAAGCCGAACGATCAGGTGAAGGTGAAGTGTTGTCGCTTTGGGTTCGAGTAGAACAGGCCGGAAGGTCTGAAATGTTTCCTTCTTTCCTTTTCGATGACCCGCGTCACCCTGGCACGCCTAGGAAGGAAAGGGCACTCGCCATGGGCTTACAGTACTTGACAGCTGTCAGGCTTGCCAACGACTGGCACCACCCCACTACCAAATTTCCACATCATGCCGTCAAACGCGGATATCTAAACACCACAACATGGTCCCCAAAAATGAAAGTCTCAAGAAAATGTTCAAATCTCTTCTGAATCTAAGAAGAGCTTTTTTGACCCGAAAGTCTCAGGTCGTTGGAATTACCTTGAAGCGACTGGAGGCACCTGAGAATGGGGGACAAAGTGCAGGTAGAGAGTGGGGACATGTCTGTCCCACCCCCACGCATCTCTGACCAACGAGAATTGACAAGTGACATTCAATCCAATGTCTGGTAAATATCAAAATGCACTTGGGCGAATATCTCCAGAGTGGTACAAAACTCGCCTATAAGGAATACATTGCAGAATATCACTTGAATTTGGTATGAAACTTTTCCTTTGTATTTGCCTATTCATGTCAGGGACAACATGGGAGCTGTTCAGATGGGTGGAGAAGGATGAGTAGTGTTATGATTATGTGATGGGAGCCAGTGAGCAGGCTTGGGCGTTCGGGCAGACCTGAAGGGATGCTACGCGAAATCTTTGAACAATCAAGCTGTCTCACTGGCTTATAAGAGTGATCCAAGGTCCTTATGTAGACAGGCTCGCAACAAAGGTCACAGTTCGTCGGTCTAAGTCTCTTGAAGTAGGGAAGACCCCCACGATTCGATGTGAATGAAGAAAGGCCAGAGGGTAGCTTTGGAGAACAATCGTCCTCGCACGCGTATCAGAAACCGTATTTAGGCATAAGTCTTGCTTTAGGTCAGCGTCGTACGGTGCTCTCATTATTGGAAGCGAGGAGGATTCTGAGGACCGCGCTGGCGCCGATTGTGTTTCGTGCGGCCAATCTTTATGGACGAAGCTCTGAAAATGACGTGGTTAGATCAAGACTTTTTGGTGACTTTAAGAAGAAGGAGCGATACGGCTTTCAAATTCTATGATAAGGTACATTTAGCAATATGGCGATTGAGGTGAGGTGGTTGTTTAGGTGGGTCCATCCGACAAAATGTTTCGCAGGAAGGAGGCACCTCGATGGTTGGATTCCGTATCAGCGCCTTCCCCCTCCCTTCATGATCTACGAATACGTACCAAAATCTCATCCGATGGAGTGAAGCCTTCATATACCCCCTCAGCTCTGTTTCTGTCACCAGCACAGCAGGCGACCCCTAGGCCGGGGTTCAGGTCAAACTGTGGCGTGGTGGTGGAATGGTTCATGGCCAACAATCAATTCGCCAACCAGCCTACTCGACGACAGGCTTAGCGCATACGAGTACCCGAGATCGAATCCCAGCCTGAGCACCAAAATTTTCCCAGCATGAGCGCCAGAGATGTAGCCCCCAGTTCGGCACCGGGGGGGTGAACTCTTTTGCCATTTAGATCTTCGGTCCTTGATCATTTGTATATGTTTTGCTCCGTGGTATGCTAAGTGACCATATTTCACAATGAGATGATAAGATTCTAGCTTAGCATCATGTATCTTGTGTCTACTAAAGGCGTGGGACCCTATGAGAAAGATGGATAAGTCGTACCTTAGGTAGGTAGGGCATAAACTTTTACCCCCCCCCCTCCTT